TTGCCTTATACCTCTAATAATGATAGAGGGAGAGTAAATAAATCAATATTGCTATATATTAGGTGTTAGGTGAGTATATTAGTGGATTGAATGGTGGTCCCCCAAAATACCTCGTTATGCCTGCCTCATCCTTGGAACCTGTGAATATTACCTTACATGGTAAAAGATTAAGGATCTTGAGAGCAGGTGCTTATCCTGGTGGGCCCTACATTCAATCAGATGTGTTCTTATGAGAAAGGCAAAAGGAGTTTGGGAGAGAAGGGGAAGCAAGGTGACCATGGAGGCAGAAGTTGGAGGGATGTGCTGTAAGCCGAGGATACCTGGAGCCCTCAGAAGTTAGAAGGGGGGGGTGGAGGTTGGGGTTAATGGGGGGGATGAGGACACATTTGTAATACCTTAACTAATAAAAAAATTAAAAAAAATGTTGCTAAAAAAAAAAAAAGTTAGAAGAGGCAAGGAATCGACTCTCCCTAGAGCCTTTGGAGAGTGTAGTCCTGCTGACACCTTGATTTCAGACTTCTGGCCTCCAGTACCGTGGGAAAACATATTTTGTGTGTGTTTTAAGCCATTTAGCTTCTGGTAACTTGTTACAGTAGCCCTTGGAAATTAATAGTGGGAGAAAGGTACAATTAATAGCTTATGTTAGGATTTTGGATTCTATAAATGTTTATGGTTCTTCTGGCCTAAATAATACCTTAAGTTGACTAGTATTGAGGTACTTGATACTGTTGTAGGCACTTTAGTTGTTACTATAGAAACTATGAAGTAGTGAGGTTCTTATCAGTGAAATAGTCGAGGCTAGATGAGCACCTGGCGAGTGCTATTAAAGGAATTCTTGGGTGGAGGTTGGCCTAGATCAGTGGTCGGCAAACTCATTAGTCAACAGAGCCAAATATCAACAGTACAACGATTGAAATTTCTTTTGAGAGCCAAATTTTTTAAACTTAAACTATATAGGTAGGTACATTGTTATTAACTTAATTAGGGTACTCCTAAGGCTTAGGAAGAGCCACACTCAAGGGGCCAAAGAGCCACATGTGGCTCGTGAGCCGCAGTTTGCCGACCACTGGCCTAGATGATCTCGGATCCCTTTCAACTCAAGAATATATTTCTAAGGAAAAACAATTTTTTAAATATATATTTTTTATTGATTTCAGAGCGGAAGAGGGAGATAGAAACATCAATGATGAGAGAGAATCACTGATCAGCTGCCTCCTGCATGCCCCCTTGCTGGGGATTGAGCCCCACCTCCTGGCATGTGCCCTGACCAGGAATCGAACCATGACCTCCTGGTTCATAGGTCGATGCTCAACCACTGAGCCACACTGGTAGAGCTCCCAAATAAAAATTTGCTTCTAAATATTGAGGCTTAACATTTTAAGGATATTAGCATAGCCAAACATTTAGCAAATAACTTCACCTGGAAAAGGTGTTTGAAAGTATAAGGTACATAGGATGTACCTTCTATAAACTTTGCAGACCAAGAATCCTGAAGGAATACCAGGTGATTTTCCACTACTGAAAATTCACTAGTGGAAAAATAAGTTAAATAAGATAACTCAGGTGTTTTCCAAAAATCACCAATTGGAACTTACCCATGCCAACATTTCCAAAAGTATTTGCATGTTGCCGCCAATATAAACAGAGCTTTGATCTCTCCCTTTGTTCTACCCTATTTTTGAGATTACATATTTCCTTATATTGTTAAATCGCCACCATAATAATAGCTCAGTGTTGATATGATAGGAGAGGTAAATTATTATTTTCACTATCACTATAATCTTTTTTTAAAGGAACCCAACTTTTAGGAACTTTATTTTTCATCAACCTTATTTCCATTCTGTTCAAGAGTCTGTGGAAGAACAGCTTCAGACCACTCAGTGGCTGTTCCTATCCAGTCGGTAGCCTGCACAGTGGCGGTTGCAGACCAGTCTTCAGTGGCACGCTGAGCTCTCCAGGCTTCAATAGGAAACTACTGAGTAGGCAGAGGGCACCTGCACAACTTCAGAATAGTTTTCGACCTCGGGTGAAGCAGCAGTGACTCAGGAGCTGGAGCTGCCCATTGACCCTGAAAAATTCCTCCTTGGTCACAGCCTTTTCAGCAGCAGCCTGCACTTCCTTTTCAATCTCTCGAGGATCTCTGTAGAAGTAGAGGTCGGGCATGACCTCCTGTGACTGTTCATGGGAGATGTTGCCATCCATGTGCAGTACTTCCCAGGCCAGCATCCAACACATCAGACCCACTGAGTGAGTCCCCTTGTTGCTGCAAGGGCTGGCACTGTCCACACAGCACAGAGGACTCTGTGTTACACAGAGCCGTGGTGGGCAGGCTAACATAAGACGCCTCTGTGAGCAGCTGGTAGTCAGCCCTGGGGCCAGTAAACACCGGAAGTCTTGGCTCCCAGAAGGCTGCCTGGATCTGGTTAGTGAAGGTTCCAGGAGTGAAGCAGCAGCAAACTTCAGCACAGCTCGCTGGCCAGTATTCCTGGACAGTATGACTGACATCAGCAGGGTTTCCAATGGCAACAATGGCATGAGCTGCCAGCAGAAGCTCCTCCCAGGCTCTCCTCAGATTGATGATGTAGGTGCCATCACTCTCCCTTTTGTAGATGGACTGTTCCATTTGGAAGTCAAGGTTGGTGCCACCTAAGTGGGTTCCTGCTGCAAGGAATTTGAGGACATCTTCCTCCTTCATTTGCAGGACATCAGGGGCTCCGGACATTGTGCAAGTTTCCCTTTAAGTTGCATAGGAACCGAGAACACCATCATATGGCACTTCCTCTCTGGGTAGTGTGAAAAGGCACTACAGTCTTTTTTCGGTGGAGAGAAAATGAGTAAGCAGGAGGAGGCCAAGGGGAAGACAAAGGTTATAATCCTAGATAATAAAAGCCCAATATACTAAGTATCCGACCGTTGGTTCGACCATTGGACCAGTTGCTATGACATGCACTGACCACCAGGGGGAAGATGCTCCGACCGGTAGGTTAGCTTGCTGCTGGGGTCCGACGATCGGGACTGGATGAGACAGGCTGGACACGCCCTGGAGCCCTCCCGCGGTCCCTCCAATCGTGCACCAGTGGGGTCCCTCTGCCTGGCCTGCACCCTCTCACAATCCAGGACCCCTTGGGGGTGTTGGAGAGCCGGTTTTGGTTTCAGTCCCATCTCCACAGGCCAGGCTGAGGGACCCCACCGGTACACAAATCTGTGCACCGGGTCTCTAGTGTATAGATAATAAAATCATGCTGTAGCCATATTTACTCTAAATTTTTTTATTTTCTCTTATTGAAAAGCATCATATAAAATATGTAATTAAATATGTAGTAGTATTAAACACATGTAAGATACTAGTAGCTGCTATGGAACCTACTGTGTGTTTTACAAATGTTTATATCTAAGTTCTATATTTTGTAAAATGTTACTTTATTATAGGAAACATTCTTATCACACTAATACAGAAAAGTCTGGCCTGGAATACATTATAGGTAGAGTAGATGTTAACTGGCCATGCCCAGTATTTCTGAGGTAATGGCAGGACTTTCTTAGCCCCTGAAAATCACCCCAAACACACTTATCACCTAGCTTCCCAGAGTGCCAAGAATTGCAAAGTTCATACTTGATCTAGCCTGGATGTTAAGGTAGTTACTTAGCTCATTAATTAGAGCATTAATGAGATTAAGGTCATGACTTTATTGTATGAACCAGTATCATTTCCAGAACCTCAGCTGCATTCCTAATCTCAGCTAGTTTTATTGTAAATATGGGCCATCTCCAGAAGGACTAGAGGGACAAATTCAAAACTCACCACCACTACTTGGGGGAGAAACAGAAACCATTAAAACACTTGTCTATAGGATTATTTTTATAAAACAATGATTATTAGAATGAAGAGCTGGGGGAACTGTGGACAAGGAAAGACAGGAAAGCACAACTAAAAATATCAGCAGAAAGCACTGAAATGGGTGGTTTCACATGCTCGCTGGAAATGTCAAACTTCTCAAGAATCGCTAAGAAAGTCTCACTACCAGTCTCAGGCGCTCACTGGGAGGCGGCAGTGACTATGTGTCTGGCAGTCTGGTTGCAGCTGCTTCCCTGTAGGTGAAGTGTGCTGCTCTGGCCCAGTGGTTGGCTTGTCCATGTTAACTGCTGTAGGCCAATGGCATAGGAACAATCTGACCTGTGCCACATCCAAGCAGGAACTTTAAATGTGCTTGCGTGGTACGGTTTGGTCGCTTGCTCCTGCCCTTCGCTACGAGAAAACTGTGCCCCCGGCAGGGGCTGTTCTATCAGCCTAGGGCAGTGATGGCGAACCTTTTGAGCTCGATGTGTCAGCATTTTGAAAAACCCTAACTTAACTCTGGTGCCGTGTCACATATAGAAATTTTTTGATATTTGCAACCATAGTAAAACAAAGACTTATATTTTTGATATTTATTTTATATATTTAAATGCCATTTAACAAAGAAAATTCAACCAAAAAAATGAGTTCGTGTGTCACCTCTGACACGCGTGCCGTAGGTCCGCCCTCCCTGGCCTAGGGCCAGAGGACGATGTACGGAGTGGAGTCAAGTCTAGCAGAGTCCAGTCTGAGCTGAGCAGAGCTGCAGCTGATTCGTAAACCCATGAACAAGAAATAAAGGTTTGTCATAAGTCACTAAGATTTTGCAGTTGCTTATATTAGTCTACTCCCAGGGAATACTAAAATAAGACTTTATAGATTCATCCTCGTTAATTATATCCTTCCTTTCTATATCTAATATGTCTTTAATATTCTGTGTTAAAGAATTTGAAGACCAAGTTTCTAACTCCAGTTGAATTTTTTTTTATTAAAGTGCATCAGTAAATAAACATTGTTAACAATCAATACAAGCTTTACTGAAATATTCACAAATAAAAACCCTCTACTTGCCCCACCAGCATGGCTCAGTGTTTGAGCATCAACTTATGAACCAGAAGGTCATGGTTCGATTCCTGGTCAGGTCACATGTGCTGGTTTCGGGCTCAATCCCCAGTAGGGGGTGTGCAGGAGGCAGCTGATTGATGATTCTGTCCCATCATTGATGTTTCTATATCTCTCTCCCCCTCCCTTCCTCTCTCTGAAATCAATAAAAATACATATTTTAAAATCCTCTACTTAATGAATCACTCAAATGATGTTCTTCTATGAAGTAACAGTAATCACGATTGGAAGCTAATTAATCTGAATTTATTCCTAACCACACACATGGATTCTCAAATTGGGATATTCAACCTGGTTAGCTTAACGTACGGGGCTGGCTGTCAATACCTGAATCCTAGTCCCAGCAAGTCAGTGGAAAAATGATGCGATTTGAAACTAATCATTTATTCTTGGTGCCACAATTTCTCCATCTGCACTGAGAATTAATCTTCCCTTAGAGAAGATGTGTAAGAAAGTATGAAATGTTAAGACTTATCATACTTCTAAGCCTCAGAAAGCACTCACATGCATATTTTAAATGTATATGTATTGATTTCAGAGAGGAAGGAAGAGGAAGAAAGCGATAGAAACATTAATGATGAGAGGAAATCATTGATTGGCTTCCTCCTGCATGTCCTTGCCTGGGGATGGAGCCTGCAACCCGGGCATGTGCCCTTGACCAAAATCGAACCGGGGACCCTTCAGTCCGCAGGGGGACACTCTATCCACTGAGTCAAACCGGCCAGGGCAACATGCACATTTTTAAAAGGGCAACTTATTTGTACTTGACACAAATTAATACTATACGGCTTTAAACGAAATAGATGACTGTTATTTCTATGAAAATTATCTTTTTACTGAAATCACATTAAAATTATAGTTTAATAGGGTTCACAAGGATATGCTGAGTAAATTATTTTGATTGCAATGAGGGCTACCATCCTATTCAGGCAAAATGTACAAAGTATTTAAAGAAATGTCATGCTTACATATTTACATGACCCATCCATAGACACAGAAACCCTGCTCCCTGACAGCACAGGGAGGGGAAACCCAGGCTTTGCTGGTTTGGTGTCGTTCCTTGGGATATGGTTTGAAACTCAATCATGACTCCAGAGAGGCTGTGGCTGACAAAAGACAGAGTATAAATAAGCCAATTTTGATCAGATCCCCTCGCACGATTAACTGCCTGGTGCTGTTATAAAACAGATTCAGTAATGTCTACGTTGGGGGAAGGAGGATTTAAGGTAAAAAAGCCTGAAAATATAGATGACAAATGTGGGGCCAGAAGAGAAATAAAATGATCCTGATTGAATCAGACTTTTCTAAAAACCTTGTTTCTATGGGAAGTATGTGATTCTGCTGTAAGAGAAGTTTAAAGAGGTTGGTACAACAACCCTTATATTTTCAAAGAAATGTGCAATACTTGCCGGTAGAAACAGTTTTGCTAAATCTCCACATGACACTTTGAAACCACTAGCAGGAAAAAAGAAAATAAAATCATTATTAATCAACATAGAAGAAAAATGGTAAGCTGTCTTGCTGTTCAATAACTGATCATGCAAATGGCCATGCCATATCGATAAATAAAATCTGCAGTTAACTGGTCATTTAAAAAATGAATTGGATGAAAATGAATTTCTGCAGTGTACTCAGACATTTTAAGACTAAGGTAGTTTCAGAAAAACATGGAACATCCTTTGAGGAGGCCTGTTTTGTGCCGGTTGTGACAGAGCACTCCATGCCCTATACAGAGTTCACAAGAAAATAATATTCACATTGAACATAGACCTCTTAGAGAAGAAAGGGAAAACACTTTACACAATATTCCTTTCTATAACATGCAGTGATTGGGTAATGGTAAATCATCATCCTTTACAAAGAAGGTGCAGGTGCTCCAAAATTAGAGTTAATGACTTTAGAAAGAGGTGTCAAAATTTTAATTCTCACCCAAGGATATGTTTTTCATTGATCGGTTGCTTCCTGTACGTGCCCCGACCAGGGATTGAACCAGCAACCTGGGAATGTGCCCTGATGGGAAATGGAACCCGAGACCCCTTGGTGCATGGGATGACCCTTTAACCAACTGAGCCACACTGGCCAGGACTAGTGTCAAAATTTTAAATAAAAAAACCAACTTAATTTCAAAGTTGGTTTTGCCAAACCTCTGGTAAGTCCTAGGAATACAGGGTGAGCAAGAAGAAAATGTTCTCCCTCTTTTATGACGTGCACCTCTCATTACCATGACGAATGCCATGGACCAGATGCCATCATAAACTTATTTGCACACTTGGGGCCAGCAAAGGCCAGGCTGGTTCTAGGTAAAACTAAGCAGAGCGCAGTCCCACAAAAGAGCATGTGAAGGACTGATCCAACGGGAGATTTCCAAGGTCACCTGGCATCCAAATGACCCCAGAGTGAGTTCATCAAGTTTCTGTGATTCAGGATCCTGCCTTGCACTGTCTACAGGCTGCCCTGAACCCACTGGATGTCCTTGGACTGGGACGCTCTCCCCGGGACAAGCATTTCCAGAACTGGAAGCGAAGGCTGAATGAGCAGGGCGGGCAGAGCACCATTTATCAGAGCCAACCCCCATCTAGCAGACGCTTGTTGACAAGAGCTTAGTGATTCTGGAGCAGCTCTTCCCAGCAGATGGGCTGTGAAAACACCTCTCTTTCCAGCCAGATCTCATAGGAGCAGTGGAAATCCTCAGGCAGATCCAGCCTCTGCCCCAGCACACTCTGCAGGCAGTTATCCACAGGTGAGAACTCTGAGTCCTGAGGCCTGTCATACCGGCGGCTATTAAAAGCCTCAATGTTGGCCCTCAAGGTGCATTCTTCTGCTTGGAAGTCCCATGGCCTGGCATCGATGTCTGGCGGGAGGAGAGAAGGAAAAAGATGTATACAACTTAGGACAGTGCTCTCAGAGCATGGTCTATAGGATACTAACAATGGGACTGCTCAGAATTTCCTTTTCTGTAAATGAAAAAAGTAAACAACATGCTGCCACTCAGGTTTAAAAGTACATACATTAAAAAAATACCCACATGCATACGCTTACATACACAGACTATCTTCTGAAGGATAGACTAGCAACTGGCAACAGTGATTACCACTGTAAGGACCCTGAGGGAGGTATCTTTTATTTTATTTCCTTTTCTTTATTTCACTTTCTTACTAGTTGTATGTTCAGTAAGTCCTCACGTAACATCATTGATAGGTTCTGCAACACAACAAGGGACACAATTTTAACATAGGCTAATGGATATAAATGAGTTAGTTAGAAAGGCATCTCATCAATGTTATAATGAAACAACGTTGAACAAAATGATGCTATTTGAGGACCAGCTGATTATATTTTCAAAATGGCAACTCAGTTCCCTTCTTGAGCTTTCCTCAGGGATGAGAGTTTCCCATTTGAATGGCATCACCAGCTCTGAAGGAATGTGAAGAGGCAGGAAGGGGTATAACAAGAAGAACTAGAATGAACCAGTTATTGAAGACTTCCTGATTCCTGGGACCTCCCCCAGCTTATATTAACATTAGGAGATTAAGTCTTCCGTGGAGGTAAAAACAGAAAACAAATAATCTACTTTGTTTCTATTTATCCCACTTAGACTCTTATTTCAGGGCCAGAGACACACATTTCCCAGATCTCTTGTTCCCACACTCAATGGTTTATCATAACTAAGTGCAGTTAGGATTTCAGCTCATGAGGCAGCAACAACAGATGTGCCATTTGCAGGATAAAACATTTTCATATTTTAAAAATCGATGAGAATTTAAATAGTTAATTATGCTTTATGTCTTATAGTAGAAGTTGCATCCTGACTTGTTATCTGCCAGTCGGATGCTTCCCTTAGTTCTCTGCACTCTTTACTGCAGCATCCTCTCAAAGTCAGGCCTGTTACAAATCCCAGCAAAGACAAGTCAGTAGTCATCTTGCCAAAACTATTAAATGCAATCATGCAAACAATGCTCAAATCCCACTACAACAAACGTCAATACAATGAAGAAGCTCTCCAAAATATATTCTTCCAAACTCTGGTCAATCTTAGCATAAGTCTTGGTAGGTTAAGTAGGTATTACAATGTATTACAATATGCAGCTTCCAACATGGCCAAGAATGTACTATAGCCAAAAAGTTTTAAATTGAATTCATCAAACCTTTAGATCTAACTTTCAGTTTACAGGTAATACCAGAGATAGAGCAGAGATTTTCAACTGGTGCTGTAAGAATTGTTTTTTAGATTTTGTTTTATTGCTTAAAGTATTATAAAGAGTATTACATATGTCTCCTTTTTTTCCCCCTTGACCTTCCCCCGGCCTCCCCTACCCCCCAGTGTCTTGTGTCCATTGGTTATGCTTATATGCATGCATACAAGTTCTTCGGTTGATCTCTTACATAAGAATTTTTAAAACATGCAATACCTGACTATTTAGCCACAGGCACTGACCTCTTTTCCCTTAGACCGGGGTCCTCAAACTTTTTAAATAGGGGGCCAGTTCACTGTCCCTCAGACCGTGGAGAGCTAAGGCTTCCACGGGCATCTGAAGGAACTAGGAGTGGGAATGGCTCTGTGGAAAGTGGGTGCCGTGGCCAAACCAGACTATGTCATCACTTCTGGTGGCAAAAACCTTAAGAACTGAGAGCACATTGAAAACGACAGTTCTCAGGTAACCTGGGAGAGAAGTTTGAAGAAACTACAGCTGATGGTGGAAAAACTCAGACCGTCTGCAACTTTATAAATGGCACATTGTTGTCATCCCAATCCACCAAGGTTGCGGGTTCAATCGCAGTCAGGGCATATACAACAATCAACCAAGGAATGCATAAATAAGTGGAACATATTAATGTTTCTCTCTCTTTCTCTCCAAAATCCGTCATTGGTTCAACATCAGGAATGGAATAGGAAGAAAAGTACAATAATGAGAAGATTGGAAGGCAGGAAATTAGTGGTGGGATGTGTCTTAAGCAATGCCACCTGTACTCAGACCTATGAAAAAGTAGAGTAAAAATTCCATCATCCTTCTGGACAAGAATTAGCTGTGAGGATACACAAGCTCAGTTCAAGGAGCAAATCTCTCCAGGCTGTTCTGTTTTTCATCACTGTGTTCGGTTACCTTTATCGCAAACATTTTGCGTACAACTATTTCCGAGTGCTGGTTTAATTAGGATCAACCCTTTGGTTAGAAAATAAATGTATTTATGCTAAAAAAAAAAAAAGCAAGTACAATTTGCTTTCATTTTAATAAAAAGTATGTGTATATATATATGTATATATACATATATATATATATATGAAAAGAAGAGATCTGGAAAAATATACAATAAGATGTTATCAATGGCAATCTTTGGGTGGTACAAATATGGGCTAAATACAGTAATATCAAAAAATGTGCCCTGGCCAAGTAACTCAGTTGGCTGAAGCATATCCCATACATGAGGGTTGATTCCTGGTCAGGACACATACCAGGCTACAGGTCTGATCCCCAGTCAGGGTGTGTGCAACGGATTGATGTTTCTATCTCACACTGATGTCTCTCTCTCTCTCTCTCTCTCTCTCTCTCTCTCTCTCTCTCTCTCTCCCCCCCCCCCCCCCCCCGCCCCTCTCCCTCTCCCTTCCTGTCTAAAATCAATAAAAATATATTTTAAAAGTTTGCTTACTTGTATTTTCTAACTGCTTTGTAATAATAAAAGGTTATTTTAATTTTAAAAATCTCTCAGAAAGGAAAAAAATAATAAAATAAAATAAAGGGAAAAAAATCTCTCAGAGAAACCTGTCATTTAAAGGAATGTTTTGGCCCTAGCTGGTTTGGCTCAGTGGATAGAGTGTCGGCCTCCAGACTGGAGGGTCCCAGGTTTGATTCTGGTTCAGGGCACATGCCCGGGTTGCAGGCTCGATCCCCAGTAGGGGGTGTGCAGGAGGCAGCCAATCAATGATTCTCTCTCATCATTGATGTTTCCATATCTCTCTCTTCCTCTCCCTTCCCCTCTGAAATCAATAAAAATATATTGAAAGAATAAAGGAATGTTTTTCAAGGGGGCAATTATCTCTCATTTTAGCTATTTAATAAAATGGATTTTCATAGGATGGGGTACATGCTGGACTGGAGCAGTGCCTTAAAGTTTGTTATATCAGCACCTAACCTATAATCACATATTTTCTTATGCAAAATATATAACAATTCATGCCACAAGAGTAGAGTAAATGTTTCTTTAGCTTTGTTTCAACACCAGGCAACTCCTGGATGTCAGAGCTCTGAGAGAACTCACCATTCCCGTAAGCCCAGTCATCATTCATACGGTGGCGCACTTTCTGGTAAATGGCCGACATGGTTTTCATGTTGCTTTTCCTCCACTGGCGCCCCAGGTACTTGGTCTGTATTTTTAGCAGCTTCAGGACATAAAGTTGCAGCATGGCCTGTTTGACCTTGAGGGCCCGCTTTAAGATCGGAGCAGATTTAAACACCACCAGCATCTGCTCATTTAAAGAGGGATGAGAGTGAAGAAAGAGAAATAAAAATATAAAGTTACTTGGAGTTCCCAACTCATAGACAAATTAAGCTAAACCTGACTGACCTGAGATTACACGGGGGAGCTTTTGGAAATCTATGGTCCAGGCTCCACTTAGATTTAGTCTTCAAGGAGGTCACTCCATTTATATTTCACAATTAAAAGTTTCTGATATCAGTATAGAACTGCCTCATTCTTTTTCATTGTTGTATAAGATTGTATTATAAGGATACACCATAAGTTATTTAACCAGTTGGTCCCGTATTAATGAGCGTTTAGGTTGTTTCCAATCTTTCATAATTACAAACAATGCTGCAATGAATAGCCATAGAGCTGCATCGTTTGGGATTTGTGAATATAGCTCAAATAACAATGCTAACTTCCCTATCAGAGGGGCCCTGAGGGAAGATCCATAACTAGCTCTCTAAAAAGCAATGTAAATATTTCTCTCATATAGAATAAATGCCCAGAATTAGAAGGGGCTAAATTTTTTCAAAATATATTTTTATTGAGTTCAGAGAAGGGAGAGGGAGGGAGAGATGGAAACATCAGTGATGAGAGAGAATCATTGATCAGCTGCCTCCTGCACGTCCCCTGGGGATAGAGCCTACAAACCCAGGCATGTGCCCTGACTAGGAATCGAACCTCCTGGTTCATAGGTCGACACTCAACCACTGAGCCACACTGGCTGGGCAGGAGGGGCTAAATCTTACATAGCATTCAGTGTGTGTCTATAGAGATTACAAAGCAGGAAGTCCATACAAATTAACTGAAGATTTTAAAAACTCAGTGAGATGGACACCTCCATGATCAGAAGTCCCACTCACCATGGTTCTGGAATGCTTCCATTTGGTCAGTTTATTGAGCAGCCTCAGAAGGTTGATGCAGGAAAAGAGGTTCCTCCAGCAGAACTGGTTGTTGTCTCCAGCTTCCTGTAATAAGGCATGCCCGTCATAATCTCAACATCCACAAGACTTATTTCCATAGATGCCTGGAAGTCACTGTTGGTCAATTTAGATGAGGCCTTCCATATAAAATGCTACCTCCTCACTATCCTGCTTTTCACACACTGAGGCCAAAATATGTAATATCTTTCATCTGGTTAGAAACATGACATACGAACATAGGAACTTCATTCAAGCAAGCTTTCTTGTGTAGCTTTCTAATTTAGGATCAGAGAAGAGATGCTTTCTACCCCATACACTTTGCACTTACATAAGCTATGTTTGTAACTGCCAGGAGTTATTCTGGGAGATTTCAAACTATGGTGGATGGATCTGGTATTCATTGTGGCTGGATTTTTGAAATCAACCCCACCCTCCTTTATCAAACCATATTGCAGCAAATTGCTTAATTCTCCAGCACGGAAGAAAAAATGGCAGATGGTTAATTCTAACCAGGTGTTTCTCTTGTATGTTTCTTGATAACAAGAAGTAACAGATGGATGTCAGATTAGAAACAGGTATATACTCATAGAAACATCATTCAGGGACAAAAATAGAGTCCTTATGGATGTGGAGGCCTATAAATATATACTGGTGGCAGAAGCTATGTAAATCAATGAGTACGCATGGTGGCCAAACTAACATCTTGGAAATTCCTCACGTCTACAAAGTGATAACATAACGTAGGAGTAGGAGATGTATAGATGTGAACTGCTGTCTGGTGAAGGGGAAATTAGCCCTCCTCCCCCAAATAGATTTGAAGCAAGCAAATGTAATGTGGACTGAACATACAAGATTTTTGAGTGTATTAGGTTAATATACATAAGACTACGGATCAAAAAGTTTCAGGGAAGGGTCAATGGGGGGTGGGGAATTTGTAATACTTTCAACAATAAAGATTTAATAATAATAAAAAAAAAAAGTTTTAAGGAGCCCTGACCAGTGTGGCTCAGTTGGTTGAGCATTGTTCTATGCACCCAAAGGTCCCTGGTTCCATTCCTGGTCAGGGCTCAAGTCTGGGCTGTGAGCTTGATCCCCAGTAGGGGACATGCAGGAGGCAATTGATCAATGTTTCTTTTTCTCTCTCCCTTTCCCTTCCTCTCTCTCTAAAATCAAATTTTAAAAAAACATTACCTAGCCCTAGCTGGTTTAGCTCAGTGGATAGAGCTTCAGCCTGAGGACTGAAGTGTCCTGGGTTCAATTCTGGTCAAGGACACATACCTCAGTTGAGGGCTTAATCAGAGAAAAACTTTAAATGTTATTTAAAGACTATCCTATACACTTAAAAAACAGTACATTTTCTGTTTATAATTATTAATTGAGCCTGAAAAAGAGATAAATCTTACTCATATAAATATTAGTCTTTTCTGAATACAGAAGCCATCAGTTAGACAAATAAACCATTATATTGAGCACCTATGTGGAGTGAACTTGCTAGTTACTTAAGCCTGTTTACATAAGTTCACACAAACAATACAAAACAAACTGTGGTTACCAAATGAGACCACCAGGTGCCACTGTTGCTTCATAGAAAGGAGATGAAACACCGACCATGAATTTGTATTTTATTAAGATTAGACAATGCTTTCACCCACTCTTGCATAAAAATAAAGTCTCCTCAGAAGCATTACAATTAGCTAAGTAACTTTATGCTTATATCCCAAAAGGTCATTCTGAAGAGATACAGAGAACACATTGTACCAAGAAACAGATCCAGGCCCTGGCAGGTTGGCTCAGTTGTTTGGAACATTGTACCGTACACCAAAAGGTGGCGGGTTTGATTCCGGTCAGGGCACATACCTGGGCTGCGGTTTAATCCCTGGTGGGGGCATGTATTGGACACAACCGATCAGTGTTTCTCTCTCATATCCATTAAAAAAAAGAAATAGATTTAGGTCATAAAAGCTAACTATTTTCAAATACCCTACTAATAGAATTTTAATACTATCCATGTGCCACTTGTTTCTCATTCCAACTTTGAACGGCAGGGATGTAGGTCTCCACCCTTGCTCTGCTACATTCAACTGTAAAATTTTGGCAGTTACTTACTTCTCTGTCCATAAAACAGTAATACCAACCTCATAGTTGTTTTAAAGATTGACTAATATGATGAACATAAACAGGGTTAGACACTTATGACCTCTCTCTGCAAGGGTAAGGAGCTCCTCTTGGCTGCTGAGACCACATCTAAGTAAGACAGCAGTTCTGCCCTGGTGCTAAAAAGGGTGCTAGACTTAGTGTCTCAGGACATGGGTCTTTCTCTAATTCAGGGTCTGTCATGAATAAAGCATGAACCATGAAAAGTCATTTTGTTCAATGGACATTTCTCATCTTTGAAATAGAGGTTTAGGCCAAATAGCTCTCATGTCCCCTCCAGCCAAAAATCCTATGGTTCTATAAAACCTGTACCACAGAAGGTATCATTCTGTTTTTACATAATAGACTTTAAAAAATATATATTTTTATTGATTTCAGAGAGAAAGGGAGAGAGAGAGAAACATCAATGATGAGAGAGAATCACTGATCGGCTGCCTCCTACCCCGCCTCCCCCCCCCCCCCCCCCCACACACACACACTGGGGATCAAGCCTGCAATCTGGGCATGTGCCCTTGAACCAAACCTGGGACCCTTCAGTCTGCAGGCCAATGCTCTATCCACTGAGCCAAACCAGCGAAGACCATAATAGAATTTTTGATGCAACATTTTGCAAGTATTAAAGTTGGGGTTGTGGCACACATGGATGCTGTCATCTGGCCACTCAGCACTTATTGAGCTCCTTCTATATACCAAACATGGTGCTAGAATCTGATGATATAAAAATGATGATGCACTAAAACAATTTTCTTGAGTAGTGTGATTATAGAGCTAGTAATTAGACTCCTTACTAAATGAATAACGTCATTAGATTACATTTAGACAAGTACCACATACCCCATTCCATTTTAATCACCCCTTAAATGCAATCCTGTTTGTTTGCATGAAAGAGCTTTTAAAATGGTAGATAAATAAATAAATAAATAAATAAATAAAATAAAAATGATGATAATACTATCTTTTACTTCAAGGACTTTTCAGTCAAATAGAGAAACCGATATAAATTACAATGCAACGGGGTGAAGGTAGGGACTGAGGCATACCCAATGAGCTGTGGCAATACATGATGAGATAGACACTTGGTCTTCAATGTGCGATTCATCAGTCAGTTTAATGCAATTAATAACTCTGAGGGCCTTGGCCAGATTGGCTCAGTTGGTTGGGTATCGTTCCATGCACCAAAAGGTCCCTGGTTCGATTCCCAGTCAGTGCATATGTCCAGGTTGTGGCCTCCATCCCTACTAGGGGGCATGCAAGAGGCAGCCTATCGATGTTACACTCTCACATCAATGTTCCTCTCTCTCTCCTTCTCCCTTACTTTCTCTCTAAAAATCAATTAAAATATATATTTTTTATTTATTTATTTTTTAAAATATATTTTATTGATTTTTTACAGAGAGGAAGGGAGAGAGATAGTTAGAAACATCGATGAGCGAGAAACATCGATCAGCTGCCTCCTGCACATCTCCCACTGGGGATGTGCCTGCAACCCAGGTACATGCCCTTGACCGGAATTGAACCCGGGACCTTTTAGTCCGCAGGCCGACGCTCTAGCCACTGAGCCAAACCGGTTTCGGCTATTTTTTATTTTTTAAAAAAATATATTTTATTGATCTTTTACAGAGAGGAAGGGAGAGGGATAGAGAGTTAGAAACATTGATGAGAGAGATACATCGATCAGCTGCCTCCTGCACACCTCCTACTGGGGATGGGCCTGCAACCAAGGTACATGCCCTTGACCGGAATCGAACCTGGGACCCTTTAGTCTGCAGGCTGACGTTCTATCCACCGAGCCAAACTGGTTAGGGCAAAAAAATATATATTTTTAAAAAGAATAACTCTGAGGGACTTTTCTGACTTGCCTAGAGCTGTTTCCAGGATGAAGAATTTTCTGGGTCATCCTTCTGTGGCTATATTGACTTTTGCCTCAGAGAGACATAGGCATTTTGGTATTTTCCGAAGTACCACTCCTGGGTTTTATAACCCGAATGGAAATGAAAAGCGCATAGCCCGTAGCACAGCAGAAAGGCAGATAATTATTTGGGATGACCAGACGAGATTCTCCTGCCATTCTGCGCAGATGTTCTCATTCAGTTTCAGTCTCATTATCTTCCTCAATGTCCTCTCATCCTCAGTGTTTTTCACTGACCCCTTTCTTGACAAAATGCTATGCACAGCTTTTCCAAACTGTTCTCAACTGGGTTAGCAGCTCTAAACCCCTACTGGCTCTGTGCTATTGCCAATATGCCTTTGTTAATCTGAGACTCCCAAACCAGGGCATTATGGAGGCAGAGAAGCAATGGAAGAGCAAGTGCCAGCCTCTGCTACTTGGCATTTTCAAAGGCTACCGAATCCGCATCTGCTTACCAGACTCTCCGTAGTAAGTTCTGGCAAATCCTGGATGGTACAGCAAGGGTAATCCAGGACCGAGATGCTGCAAGATGCAGAGATAAGGACAGGCTTTGGGTAAATGGCAATGGCAGGAAACAGCTGTATGTTAAAGGGCAGGGGTTAGTTCTCTCCAGCAGGCCCTATCTATTTCCCAAATTGCTTAGAGACCTTGGCTGAAACCGAGGGCTTTGGTGCCAAGCAACTCCAGCTCTAGTCTCCTCTCCTCACGGAGAGGAACTAGCTGAGAGGAACTAACAAGAGTTCTTTCAGGCTGGCCCCCATCTGGCAAAGGCAAAAGAGAGCAGAAAGAGAGCCCTGTATAGCCACCTTTCTCCTTCCTTCTTTAAAGGAATATGTAAACTTGTCTGCAGTTGAGTTTCTGTATTTAAGTATATGCTTGTGTATATGTGTGAATATAACTGTGCTCCCAGAGATGCTGCTAAAACTTGTTGCGCTTAACAAACTGGATGTGAGGATGCAATGCAGACTTCTGTGTCTTTCTGAAAGCCAGGAGCTCTCGGGAATAATCACATAAGCTACCCTACAGGAAGCTTGAGACAGAGGCAGCAGCCTACAGAGGGCCAGTCTAGTAGCTCAAGAATGGTAATAGCATCTGCCTCCAAGGGAGCTGGAGGCTCTGTTGGGAGCCCAGGGAAGCAGGAGAAATAAGGCACCACATGATGACAGGAACACAGTCACTTAAAATGACCTTTCTTTCCTCTTCTCCCTTCTTCATGGGTGCAATGCAGAACTGAGATTAGGTAATCTCTAATGCTTCTTCTGGTTGGGACATTCCATGAGGCTTTAAACACCAATCTTGCCCTGGCCTGTGTTGCTCAGTGGTTGCTCAAGAGTGTTGCCCTGGGGACCAAAGGGTCACGGTCAAGGGCACATACCTGGGTTGCAGGTTCGATCCCCAGCCCTACTTAGGGCGCATGAGGGATGGAAACCAATTAATGTGTCTCTTTCACATCAATGTCTCTTTCTCTGCCTCCCTCCTTTTCTCCCTTCCACTCTCTCTAAAAATCAATAGAAAAAATATCTTCAGGTAAGGATTAACAAAAACAAAACAAAACAAAATTTAAAAACCACTAATCTATCTGAACTAATGCAGCTGGAAATACATAAAAGATGTTGCAAGCAGGGGCTATAAAGACGACTATGGGGTTCCTTGGACCTGTCCCTCTATTTCGAAAGTCAAACTCTATCCAAACAAAAGGCAACAATTTATTCCACTAGAAATGTTTACCTTTGTCCAAGAAACACACAAAGATAACCAAGGGAACAAAGGGAGGAGAGGAGAGGCCAATGGCTCTCTCTACAATGTTGCTCATCACCTTAATTCACTCTACTAGATCCTCCCAGAGTTGCCAGTTCTCTGCTGCTCCTTTAGGAAAAACATTCTGGGCTGGCTTATCCACTCAGCTACCCACCTCCCACTGATAAAGCCCCATGGCAAAGTAGGTGCTGGAGACCAGGAAACGGGGGCAGGAAATCAAAAATGGATTTATTCTAATCTCAGTGAACTGAATTCTAGCCTAAGGGGGAATGAAAGACAGTTACAAGTTCCTACAATATCTAGGTTGTAAGAGCCATAAGGAAACTGTGCAATAATGAGCTGTGGGTGCTCCAAGTTCCTCAGGGATTATGCACCAGTGAAATATACTGTGGGTGGTAAACAGGAGGACCATCTTATCCAGGCCAACCTTAGCAAATGGCACAGTCTGGCTCTTTCAACTCCAAATGATCTCGATGGACACACATTGGATTGTTTGCCCCTCCTCTTCTAGGCCCAGGAGTGCATTTAGCTCCTGAACCCAACTTCCCAGCCACAGTTGACTGAGCCAGGGACAGACCTGTAACCCTGGGAATGTGGAACAAGGACCGAGAGCCAATTCAGTCTGAGTAGCATGGGGCAGGGCATGTTGGGCTCATGCGGGCATATTTCAGAGAGTGGCCTGGGAAACAGACACTACTATTTGCAAGTGAGAGAAGACACTGGAGTGGAGTACAGAGGCTTGGTGTCCATAGACAGAGGTGGAGGACTTCCTGGGCTCCCTACAGACCAACCCTGAGGTTCAGAGCTGCGTCCCTGTCCTAGGAGCCTCAAGATGATATACCTCACATTTCCTCCTAACAAATTACTACTATGCATGAGCCAGGTCTAGCTGGTTTTAGTTACTTAGAACTAAAAAGGTTGACTGATACACAGAGGTGCCTTCATGAAGCTGTGGCCCTTACCTCACCCAACCTATGCTTCCATTTTCCCTGGTAATTCAACTAGCAAGTCTTAGTGTTAGTTTTATTTTTATTTTTTGTTAATCCTCATCAAAGGAAATTTTTCCACTGATTTTTATAGAGAGTGGAAGGGAGGGGGAGAGACAGAGAGAAACATCGATGTGAGAGAGACACATTGATTAGTTGCCTCCTGCACACACCCCAACCAGGGCTGAGGATTGAGCCTGCAACTGAGGTACATGCCCTTGACTGGAATCGAACCTGGGACCTTTCAGTCTGCAGGCCAATGCTCTATCCACTGAGCCAAATCAGCTAGGGCTTAGTGTTATTTTTAAGGTGGCCAGTGCATAAATCTCCTGTGTTGGAAAAAAAACAAAACCAAAAAACCCCTGAATTCTCAAATGCTTCCTTCAAACAGTAAAAGTATTTAAATCACTCTCATATATATTTATCTTAACTAATGCTTATAAAAGTTCCATGATTCAGTCAGAAGAGGTATTACCTTCATTTTAAAGATGGAAATACTGTGGCTCAGAGAAACAAAGTGTCTTACTTGAGATTACATAGCTAGCAAATGGCAGATCCAGGTCAGGAATCGAGGTCTCATGACTTCAGGTTCTGTGTGTGTGTGTGAAACTACATATAAGTAAGCCGCCTCTCCCTGGAGGAATCTCAGGCAGTGCTGACCTACTGGTGAGGCAACATCTCCTAGGCCCTCTCCACTCACTCCGAGTAATCTGCTTCTACTTTAGAAACTTTGTCTCTATTAAAGCACTTCTGGTAAACTCTCCTGATTCACAGGCTTCCAGTTCTCATGGAAACAGCCAAGTAAGGAACAAGGATCTGTTCTGTGACTTTCCCTTTCTGCCATGTCCCCACTTGGCTGGAGGAGTGGAAAGCAATTTGTATTCACAACTGTGATCAGAAAGCAATTTTTGTTTTGATCCTATCTTTGCTGCTTACTTAACAAGTCTCACTAGCATGTTAATCTGGAGCAAGTCAATTAACCTAAGTTGTTTCCTAATTGGTAAAATGAGAAATAAAACTTGTTGTAATACCACTTAGGACTGCTTTGGAGATTAAATAAAATAATGGATAGAGAAATAGTGTAATTTTAAAAACTACAAATTGATCTATAACACTTTACAGTAAAGTAGTGTAACTAACCCAACTTATGATTTATACTAAGATTGGGGCTGGCCAGACAAGCCATAAAGCTGAAATTTTATCGTTGTAGTTTTATCACTTTGAGTCATGACATTTTTCGTTTTTAAAATTTTAAAAATACAAATATCTTTGTGACGAGGCCAAATCATATACCCCAGAAGCTAACACTTCAAGGAAATAAAATAGTAATAGCTCTAAAATAGAACTTGGGACAGCAAAACTGACAGGCTCAGAAATAATGTAATTTTTCTCAATCATCCCAAACTAGCCCTTTTGAAATAAAAGTGTCCAGAGTCCATACCTGTTTTTAGCAGTGATGTAGGACAAAATATTTTGATTGAAGAATTTCAGGATCAATGGAATGCAGTTGGCAAATACCAAATGTTGTGATACATATTCAAACTGAATTAAAAGATCAAAGTGGAAAGGGCTGCTTATTTGGGGGAGAATAGAAGATCTGTATGAAAAACAGGCAAATATAAATCTAACATCCATCCCTAAAGATATCCACTGGCCGCTTGTGTTATCAGTCTTTCTGCCTGGGAAGGGGGAGAATCGTCTCCAGCTCGCCCATCCTACCTGGAGGGGGACAATCGGTAGTGTTATATAGGTTGCAAACTCCTGACCGAAAGCACAAAACATAAACCGGAGAGAAAGCCCTATTACAGATCAACAGAACTGCAGTGAGATTTGCTCTTAAGCTCAACAGGAAAAGAAGACAACCCCAAGGGAGTTGTCTTCCACACCAAAGCTCTGGCTCATAGTGTTTCAACTGTGACTGATACAGCAAGGACAGGTGCAGCTCACCCCCAGCAGCTGCTGGCATCACTCAGCCAGCAAGGAGACAACACATAACCAAATGGGCCACTGGAATGTGGGCTCCATGCCAGTCTGTATGGTTCCCTGTACTTAGAATATCATATTTTAATGAACGAATCAAGAGCCCTTCAGTCAACAGAGAATGCACTGAGAATAAGTCGAGGATCTCTCTGATGAGCGTAACACCACAGCACAGGGGCTCCACTTTGCTCTCCTGAATCTGGATGGGGTTTGTGTCCAGGAAGACTTAGTGGAGGCAGTGTCATGAAGTTATGCCACCAGGATTTTGCCCAAGATACACTGAGGAGCATCAGACACAATTTTCTCCAGATCCAGAACCCAGGCTGCTAGGACAGTGCAGAAACTGAGTTGAAAAGACAGAAAATTGTGCTGTTTTAAATCCCCTACTTCTTCCTGATTACCAAAAAGTAGCCTCGGTAGCAAGCTAAGCTGCCCTCTGCCCCTAAATGTGTGGTTACAGGGGAGGCGTCAGCTGGTGCTGCCCATTTCTCTCTTTCGCTCAAATCTTTTCCCCCTGGCAGCTGACCCAGGGTTTTTCCCCAAAGCCCCAGATGGAGGAGATGATACATACTCTCTATCAAGTGATGGAAAACTTTTTTCAGTTTCAGATGTGTCTGTAGCCTTGTCAGGATTCACTGCCACTGACACACACTGGCAAGACCCATCAAGCCACCCTCTTGTCTGGCTGTTGACCCACCTACTGCCACCAAGAGAAGCAAACAGAGCAGACATCCTCTGTTCTCTGTCCTTTCTACTAGGACCACTATCTCCCACCAGGCCCGACTCCTCCCAGCCCTGCTGCTGCTCAGCAGCATGAGCAGACGTGTGAGCACCCAGACACACTAACAAACCTACAGATGTCCCGGAATGTACTAAAAGAGTCAAACCTGCCATGGACAGAGACCCTGCAGGGCCTCCCTTGCACTCTAAGGATCTGCTCTTCCACCAGCAAGCTTGGTTTTGACTTCCCAGGAGGAAAACAGAGCAGAGCCTCTGTGCAGGAATGAGATGCCCCCTCTCCCCATGGTCTCACCACAGCGACCATCCATTACTGCTTCCATCTTCCCCTATACATTGCTTATGGCAATGTATGCTGACAGAAGAACCAAGTCTAAACTCCTCAGCATGGCAAACAATGCGTTTATGAGGAAACAGGCTAACCTTTCCTAGCTTTGGTTTCCTCCTCTATAAAACAGGCATTAAGTAAGACCTGCCTCATACGGCTGAGAGAATTAAATGAGATCCCACACAAGCTTAACAGAGTGCCCGGCCCGTTATAGGTACTTAATAATTGTGCGCTATCACATGTGTTATGTGCTCCCTGTTGTCCCCTCCAGCCTTACGGACTTTTACAAATTAGCTTTCTGCTTGAAGTGCTTCCTGTCCTCTTTCCCTGACAACTCCCACATGGTAGCTAACCTCTCTTTAGGGCTCAGGTTGAAGTCACTTCACCTCAGGCTGGATTAGTATTTCCCTATCAGCCAATGCTTACCTGTGCTTATCACTCTACGATCGGATATTTATGTATCTGTATCCTTTACAAGACCTCTAAGCCCTTAAGAGCCAGAAACATGCTTTATTCAGAATTAGATCTCAAATGTTAGAAAGGTGCTTTGCATAGAGAAAACCATTCTCAACATGCTTCCCCCCCACCCCCCCGCCCCATTTTTGTAGAATGCTTAACTCCTATCACCCATTGTTTTAAAGCTGGCTGGGCAGAGATTCCTACCCACAACTCTCAGATCATGTTCAAAGGTCATAGACATCAACACCTTTCTAGAATAGTTCCCCATATCCCACACCATATCTCCACCCCAAGCTTGTACAACAGGCATTTTGATTCCCTGAGTGAGACAAAGAAAAGGCTGAAAGATACTCAGCTGGATTACAAGGGCCCTGGTGTCCCTTCTTTAGGAGACGGGGCTAGTGAACACGAAGACCCGTGGAGAAGGGCTCCGAGCTGCTCACCTGGTAGATGTGGTTCAGTTTGAAGTGCTTGAGGAGCAGCAGGAGCAGGGCAGAAATACTCTTTACAATGATCTCCTTGTGCCTGTTCACATCGATGCCCAGCTTCATGCTCTGGAGAACAGTGACGCTACAATAGGGATAGGAGGGGTCAATGTCCAGGGTGGCTGGAGAGAGCTTCTACACAGTACATGTTTGGATCGGATACAATGTACACAGGAGAGCCAGAGCTTAGGAAACCTGAATTTCTGTGCTAGGGAAACCTCCCAAGTTCCTGCTAATAAGCCTGTCTGGAGAAAAGCTCCTCTGAACTCTGTTTCTCTCTCTCCTTTGGCAAGTTCATCCCTTGGCAATGTCCACCCACATACCTGTGCAGCCAGTCGCTGGCACGCATGCTGCCTTCCAGACCCTCAATTCTGAGCTAAAAGGAGCACAGCAGAGAGCACTGTGGTGGAAAGGGGCTACTGCTGGGGGAAGGGAGATCTCTTTGGAGATAATCCCTGTGTTAACCAGGTGAGGTGGGGACTAGAGAGACCTCGCAGACAAGACAGCTAGTATTCAGCAGCCGCCACAGTTGAAGCACTCACGGCATCTCCTCAGGCAGGACATCTGCCAGAATATTGATAGAGTCTGTCTTAGCCTTGGAGGTGGGAGCTGCAGCCAGCAGAATCTTAAGCAGAGCAATCTGGAAAGTAGAAAATGAGGAATCCATCCCATGCAACAAGGCTATTTCTCAATGCCTCAACAGTCCTATGGGAAGTGTTCTAAAGTCTTCCTCTAAGTCCTTCTCTCAATGACCAGACCGCCCCAGCCTCCAGAGGGGCAACCAGGTGTCCAGTCCTGAGAGGCCTGCCTGTGAGAGTCAGGAGCCAGAAGGGAGCTGACAGGCTGCTGTGCTTCAAGACTGCTCTTTCCAAAGAGGAAGATGGGAAAGGCAAAGTGAGAGGGACAAGGCCTAGAAATAAAGTGGGAGGCATAAGCAAGATTTCACGTCCTCTACCCTTTCCTTCCTCTAACCCTGACCATCAGCATCCTCACCATTCTTAGCCTGAGGCTATCTAGAACATGACAGACCACAGCAGACCTCAGAGGGACGAGGGCCTCCAATACGCCTTCACAGATCCCATCTTGATCTCTATCCCTCCAAAAGGACTAGGGAGTACCGCCAAGTCCTCCTTCCTCTTGCAGGAGCCCCGAGGAAAGCTCAGAATTCTAATGTGTTAGAGAAAGCCTTGACTGAGGAGTGAAAGCTCAGGAAACAAGCTGAAATGATGGACATCTCAGCTTGAAATGACTCTCAGCTGTCTGTTCCTTGAAGCAAAGAAGGGCAACTTCTTACCACGTCCTTACCCCACCACCTCTTACCATGTACTGGGGGAGGCTATACAGCATGCCCTGGTAGAGGATTTCACACGGCGTCTCTGGCACTACCTCTTCCCCCTACGGCAGGAAACACACAGTTACCCAGGCCATTTTCCAGTTGACCAAAGGCTATGTGAAGTGTGGCATGCAAAGAGCACTGAGCTGGGAGTCCTAGGTTCTACACTCGCTGTGTTAATGTTTCCTTATATGACGTTGGGTAAGTTACTTTCCCTATCTGGGTCCTAATTTCCTCTTCTGTAGCTAAGTGGGCTGGGCTGGATGACTGCTGAGGGCTCTTCCAGCCCTAACAAGCTATGATTCTGGTTTTGCATTATCTGGAGTCGACCCAAATTCTTTTTTCCATGTCCCAGCTGGATCAGTAGTCAAAACTCCCAACTAAGAGACGGCTCAGACCATTGCTTTGCTGAACACATAGGGACTTAATTCAGGCTGCAGGTATGCCTGGGACACTGGGAACTGACAGCCTACACAGAGCCACTTCCCAGGGTGCCAATCTGAGGCCACCTGAGAGCACTAAAATGCTCTGGAGCCAGAAAGGAAAGGCCGGTGACTCAATAGAGAGGGTTAATAAGACAGATGGGTAACCTATGGCCTGGAGAAGCAGGAAGGACTATTGGCCGATAAGCTTTTAGGTGTAAACTATTTTTACTTCTCTATTAGCCCCTACAACATCTCTTTCTCCTTTCTGACCAGCCCCCTCATGCACAACTCTCTTCGTCCTTTTGATGACCCCACCTAAGCCCTTTGTCGGAGTATGGAGACAGACCTCCGGTGCTCGAGAGGCTACTCAAGGCCACTGTCATCTTTGGGCAATGCAGTCCTTCCTCACCCAAGGTCTGTCTATTACAGGGCAAGGGTCAGTGCCATGAGAACCTAAGGTAGGTACCTTAGCCCCTTTCATCCCACACAACTCAGCTATGCTTAAATAAGCAAAAGTCTTAAATGGACATTCAACAAAGCCTGCAATCCTGTGTGCTTGCCTTCTGCTATCCAAAATGCCCATTTCACATCTTACCCCCTTTCTCAAATCAACCCCCTTGTCCCATAGCCCCTCAATAGTTGCTAACCCTGCCTCATACTTCATGGAGAAAACAAGCAACCGGACAGGCACACCCTCATCTTCTCTTTGCCAAATCTGCCGAGTCTCCACCCTCCTTCTTGACATTAAGGTTGAACCACCTGTGCTCCTATGAAAGGCCAGCCCTCCACCTGTGCTTAGATCTCCCTCTTTTCCTTTGTCGAATGTAGCAGTTCTGTATGTACCCCCTCCCCGCTGGATTATCTCCTTAGGACGTAAACATGCTCTAGTGTCACCTAGCTATAAGACATTTTCCCTTGACTCCACATCCTCCTTCAGCTCCCATACTTGTTCTATTACCCTTCTCCCAATAAAACTTCTGTGCTGTATATGTCAACTGTCTACCTCCTTTTGTTACATTCCTTTTTCAACACACCAACTAGGCTTCTAGCCCCACCACTTCACTGGAGGTTGCTCTTTTCAAAGTCATCAGTTTTCTTCATGCTGCCAAATTCAATGGACACCTTGTTCTTACTATGCTCCATTTATCAGCAACATTTGACATAGAAGATCACTCCCTTCTTTTTTTAAAAAAAATATTTTTACTGATTTCAGAAAGGAAGGGAGGAGAGAGAGATAGAAACATCAATGATGAGAGAGAATCATTTATCGGCTGCCTCCTGCATGCCCCACACTGGGGATCGAGCTCACAACCTGGGAATGTGCCCTGACTGGAAATGGAACCATGACCTCCTGGTTCATAGATCGATGCTCAACCACTGAGCCATGCTGGCCAGGCCACTCCCTTTTTGAAAGATTTTTTTTCTTAGCTTTTATAGTATCACAATATCCTGGATTTTCTCCCACCCCCCCGAGTGTTTTTCTTACTCTTTTTTTTCTTTATTGATGAAGGTATTACATATTCGTCCTTATCCCCCTATTGCCCTCCCCCCCTCTTATTCTTCTTTGTTGGCACCTTTTCTGGCTTATCCCACCCTCAACAAATTGGTGTGTCCCAGGGTTCTGTCCTGGGTTTAATCCTCTTTTCTATATCTACTCCCTCCCTGGGTTATCTCAGCCAGTTCTATGGCTTGTAACACTGCCCAAGTCAACAGTTTCCAAATGCATTTCTCTAGGCCCGTCCTCTCTCTGGAACTCTAGACCCATATATCTAATCGCTTGGTTGCTCTGCATGAGTGTCAAATGGATATTTAAAACTTACTATGACCGAAATAGAACTGTTGATAAAACAGAACTCCCATCTTGGCAAATGGTGCTTATTCTTGATTCCTCTTTTTGCCTCTCTCTCCACATCCAACTGAACTGCAACTCTTGTCAGTTATACCTCCAAAATACACCCCAAATTCATCCACTTTTCCCTAGCTCCACAACTGCTACTCCAGCACAAGTCACCATTATCTCTCACCTTGACTACTGTAATAGCTTCCTAACTGATCTTCCCACTTCCACTCTTTCCTGATCCAGTCTTTACACAGCAGTCAATAGTTTCTTAAAAGATAAATCAGATGTCACTCCCCTATTTAAAATCTCCAAAGGTTTCCCCTTTGTATTGGGAATCAACTTTAAGCTCCCTATTTTGCTTACAGGTCCTGCATAAAATTGGTCCGGACCATCTCCTACAAGCCTGCCCCTCCCGTGCTCCAGTGGGCCGCACACCACCTGAACGGCCTTTATTCACTATATCTAATGCTCTGAGCTTTGCTCTTACCTAGTTAAAAGCTGTTCCCTCTGCTTGGAATGCTCTTTCCCCTGATGTTTCTATGGCCACTCCTTCTTGTACCTCATATCTTAGCTCAGTGGTCGGCAAACCGCGGCTCCCGAGCCACATGCGGCTCTTTGGCCCCTTGAGTGCGGCTCTTCCACAAAATACTGACTTCTGCTCATGGGCCACGAAGTTTCAATCGCACTGTACGTGCGCGCCCTCATGTGGTATTTTGTGGAAGAGCCACACTCAAGGGGCCAAAGAGCCGCATGTGGCTCGCGAGCCACGGTTTGCCAACCACGGTTTGCCAACCACGGTCTTAGCTTAACTGTCACCTTCTGAGAGTTCTACCTACCTTGACTATCCAATCTAAAGTAGTCTGTCATATAATTCTATTTAAAATTTCTTCATTATGTCACCACTCTCTGATAGCCTTGTTTCCTTAATTATTTGTTTAGCTTTTTTCTCTAACTTTTGACATGTTGTGAAATTAGAGACCTTGTCTTGCCTGGCACATAGTAAGATCCCCAAAGCATGCACACATGCTCTGTGACAACACTGCAAACATATTCCCCCTGCCCCCTTCCTGTGCAGGGCCCTTTTAACTCACCAAAGACATGGGGCACTTCTCCAGCTCCTCCTCATTCTTGATCTGAACATCTGCGATGGAGACGTATTTGTGCTGGGGAAGATAAGACATCAACAAGAGGCTGAGGGCCTCAATCTCATGTGTACCAGCCTCTTGCTTAACTTCCTCAATGACAAGGAAATGTCCTATTTATGGATCTGTCATCCCAAATAGGCCATGAACTATTTGAAGGCAGGCGTCTCATTCACCTTTGCACCATTAACACTGAGCGAAGTGCTTCATATACAGTGTTTGTTTGCTCCATGTTTCCAATTTGTTGAAGAGCAGCAGATACCTAAGCATTTGCCTTCAGCCAGCCAGGAACAGGCCCTTGCCCCTGGGCCACTGCCCAGAGGTTTCTGCTGCATGTGCACGTGGACATGGAGTGATGATGATGGGGTAGGGGGGATTCAAGGTCTGTGTATCTTAGTCTTTGTGCTCACACACTGTAATGCAGAACAGTAGCCTGCGACTCAGTCCTGAACCTTTGGAAGTTAGTTGTCTTACAGGAAGAGAGAAGTGAGAGGAGAGGAAGGGAAGAATGAGAAGAGAGAGAGAGAAAGGTGGAAGGAGGAAAAAGGAATGAGAGGAAGAAAGAATAACCTTCTCATCTATCTGAATATAGAAAACTGGTAAGTAGGGAGAGACCCGATTTCTTCCTCTGTGGCCAAAACGCCTTCAGGGAAATGTAGAATAGATTCAGAATGTGTCTGGTAGAAGAATCCTGCCCAGTTCGAGGGCCCCACTAATCCAACAGCCTTGATGGCTCACTATCCCTGAAGACTGAGTGCCCACCCCGGTCACCTGCTTTAGGGTCTTCACACTCTCATGGATGGGCCTGGGTAATCCAACCAAGGTATCTGTGTCCCTGTGAAATGCAAGGCAAGTAGGTAAGCTTCAAAAGTATAAAGAATGACTCATTCCCCCTGGAGTCACATAGACCATGCCACTTTCAGCTTCCAGGTCCCCTGTGATTGCTTTAGGACACAGAAAATTACAGAAATGTTTGAAAATTAGGGTTTCTGTATAGTCTTTTGAGGACTCACTTTGTCTGGGAGTGGCAGGTAGCCCAATGCCACTTTGACTGTGAAATACCAATAACAATGCCTTCTCAGGTTTTGTAGAGGCCAGTGGGAAGGATTCATGAGGGTGGGGAAATGGGGGGAAAGACTAAATCTGTTCTGACCATGTCTCTTCTTCACAGAATCCTGGCCCATTAGAGCAGGTAGGGCCCCTAGAGACCTTATAATCCAACACTCTTATGAGGAAATTGAGGCCCAAGAGGGAAATGACTTGTTGCTCAAGGCCCTACACTAGTCAAGAGCGTAAAAGTTCTTTTAAGAAACTGGAAGGAAAAAATTCCATGGAAAGAACACAAAGTAGTTACTGGGAGTTGCCCATGGCCTAATAGTTCTAGGCTGCACCGTGACTACCCAGCAAAATTTCTCATTCCAAGCCACCACTCACTCTGGCCCCATAAGAACCACTCTATAGCCATTCTGACGATTCAGTCACTTACTGCCCCAGAGTGAATCCGATGAACTTGTTCCTGCTTAGCTCCAAGAAGTGCTCAATGTCCTTCTGCCTGAGAGGACGATGGAGATGAACCCCAAAGAAGGGAAGAAAAGCAAACCTTGAGAGAGAGAACCTTTCTGGGCTCCTGCCCCTCCAATTGGAGGGCCGGAGCAGTTGGGGAAGAGAGCAGCCAACAGAGAGAACTTCAAACCTAGGAGTTCTGACTCTCAGACCAGCTTATTGTGCCTTTAACACAAAGACCATACCACCCTGGGTCTTCAATGACCGAAACCCCAAAGTTCAGGGTCCCTAACTTTCAAACGTACCTGACCTTTGGGGCCCAGGGTAGGCCCTTGGGAAAAGCCACCCGCTCAGCAGAGAGGGTTGCCTGTGAAAGTGGAGGTGGTACCAGAGGGTCCTGTTCTAGCAGGTCTAACTCTCCATCCAAGGTTCGTTCTCCATCGCCAGCAGACTCCTCTTCCTCTTCTGTGGCTGGTTCCTCAGTCTTAAAGAGATCTCTTTCATTGTAAATGTCCAGGCTGTCCTGCTTAGTAAGGAGTTGCTGGGGTGGGGGAAGAAAAGTATGCAGAGATCTCACCCTGGGCATCCTTGTCTGAGGTCACCCCCTCCCCGACAGGCTGTTAGAATTCAGGAAACATGGAGTAAAAGAACCCAGCTCTTGTGAGAATATCCCTTTCCAACCTCAACCCTACTGTCCCCACCAGGCCCGATCCCAGGACAAGCAGCTCTCAGACAACCAAGCCAATAGGGAACAGAGCACAGATAATCCCAAAGTCACAGCTACTTAGCTTTCAGAAAGAACTGATGCCATTTTTTTTTTTTTTTTTACACCAGCACTTTCCTTCCTAATTATGCTCTGCTTAAGTGAACATTCAATTAGTTTGCCTTCTGTGGGCATACACCAGCTGGCTGGCTGAGGAAGAAGAGAACAGAAGCTTGCTGCTAGGCAGAGGGAAGCGAGTTTGGAATTTTAAATTTTGTCACAGAAAGAAAAAGATTGGACAGAAATAGGCCAAAAAGTTAACAGTTACTGCCTCTCGTTGTTAAGATTGTGGGTGATTTTTTTCTCCTTTCTTCTCATTTTATATTTGTTCCAAATTTTCTAAAATGAGTAAACATTCCTTGATAAAACAAAAAAAAAATCAAGGTTAAAAAAATCTCACTGAAGATAACAGGCTAGATAACTGAGTGTGACTGTCTGGTCCTGACACCGATAGTTGGTGAACTCAGGCAGATCAAGCAAATGAGTTCATGGGAACATGGTTGGTCTCAGTGCAACTTGTCATTTCGATCTTCCAGAGATGCAGACTATACCTAGAATCCTAACCTGTCATCTCCCAAATGTAAGCCTTTCGTTCTGGGACCAGACAAACATATGGCTGACCCAGAGTAAACCTTCTTGCTGCTGAGAAAATAGGAAAGTGCCACACATCCAGGTACAGGGATCCTCTAGGAGACCTGCTCAGGTGCTTTGGGTCCTTATACCCTAACCCAGTGGTCGGCAAACTGTAGCTCGCGAGCCACATGCGGCTCTTTGGCCCCTTGAGTGTGGCCACAAAGTTTCAATCGCACTGTACGTGTGCACCCGCACGTGGTATTTTGTGGAAGAGCCACACTCAAGGGGCCGCAGTTTGCTGACCACTGCCCTAACCTAACTCTTGTTCTGGTGCTAAAGAGCTCAAGGTGCGGAGGTCCAGGTCAACGACCCTGTGGCGAGACCTGGATCTACAATGCGGTATCACAATGTTACATCATGATAGCGCAGGCACCTGTCAGGGCTGGGGGATAGAAGCCAAAGTATAGATTGCAAGGTTTCAGGTTGGTCACAGGGCCAACCAGGGGCAGGATGAGCTGGGTCATTTACTGCCCTTTCCTCCCACATCCAGAGCAGCTGAGAATCTTGATTTTTGGACAGCGAGTGTCCCACCATCTGCTTTAGTGCGTACCCTTCGAGAACCACGGCGGCCTCGCAACTTGGAGGGTGGTGGTGCCAGCTGAGACTCCCCCAGGTCCAGAGTGTAAGAGGGCGGGGAGGCGGCACGCATGCTCTTCACCACCTGGATACTGTCCTCAGCCAGTGGCGGCAGGCCCAATTCTGCCCGCTTCTGTACTTTGAGAGCCTGTAGATGCTCAAATCCACCGAGGGTAAACTAAGGGGTAAAAAAAAAAAAAGGGGGGGGGGACAGAGAAGCGAGGGGAAGGGAGGGAAGTCAGAGAGAGCAAGGACAGGAAAGCATGGGTGGAGAGGAACAGCCACCACCTCCAATCCCCCTCAGACCCCAAATTAAGTAGTAATAATAAAACAGGAAGGGGCAAATGTGGTTACTAGCCCGGTCTGAGGAACTCAGGCACCAGGACAAAGCATTATTTACTGACTCAGGGTTGGAAATATCACCAGAAATTAGGAAAGGGACTCTGAGGGGCCTCCACTAAAATAAAACACACACAACCCAGGAAAATGTATCTCCCTCTTTAAGAAACACATCCAGATGCTAAACCCAGGCACTCTATTCCTCTGCAGCTGGGGTGGAGGGGGGTGGGGGGATAACTGTCTCTTGAAGTTGGGGAACTTTAAGAGACAGTTCCCCCTATAAAGCCAGTCCTGTGGGGTGGGAGCCAGAGAGGAAGGATCAGGTGAATAATTAGTAACAAAATTACAACCATACATTTATAAGGACTTTGTGTTCATCTGGATGGAGGGCAGGCACTAACCCCCCCATTTTATAGCGAGAGAAATTGAGGCACAGAGAGTTGCCCAAGGTTGTCAGTATGAGCAGAGGCCAGATTTCCCAACTCTTAGCCAGTGTTCTTCCCACAAAACATCAGTACTATCAGGGGGAGATGCAATGATACCCCAATTCACAGAGTGGCCAATCCTGTCAGTCCAACAGAACCGGATAACCTGCTCTAACAAGAACATCTGATTTCTCTAGGAGAGCCTAGATCAGTGATGGCGAACCTTTTGAGCTCAGCGTGTCAGCATTTTGAAAAACCCTAACTTAACTCTGGTGCCGTGTCACATATAGAAATTTTTTGATCTTTGCAACCATAGTAAAACAAAGATTTATATTTTTGATATTTATTTTATATATTTAAATGCCATTTAACAAAGAAAAATCAACCAAAAAAATGAGTTCGCGTGTCACCTCTGACATGTGTGTCATAGGTTCACCATCACTGGCCTAGATGTCCCTCCATTGGCTAACAGCTGCCGGAGTCTTCTGCCTAGCTCCTGCCTGCAGAATCAGAATAGAAGAACCTGAGGTAGCAGAGGGCTCTGCTGAACTGATGAGTTAGGAGGAGAAGGAGCCACTCACCATGACCACCTTCCAAAGCAGAAGCAGGACCTTCTTTATGGGGAAGTGGGGAGCCAGGCCACTACAGAACTTGGTAACCATGGAGAAAAGCAGAAGGGCAAAAGGCTCCTCATTATGCATGGAGAAGCCTGGAGGGTGTGGAGAGAGGCAAATGAGAAAGTGAGAATGAGGGAAGGGAAAACCTGCACAGTAATCCCGATTCTGGACACGCTTACCACCCCTAACGAATCTGAGTACCGCCTGACCAGTGACCGCGTGGCTCAGTGGTTGAGGGTCGATCTATGAACCAGGAGGTCATGGTTCGATTCCCAGTCAGGGCACGTGCCTGGGTTGCAGGCTCCATCCCCAGTGGGGAGGGCATGCAGGAGGCAGCCGATCAACGATTCTCTCTCCTCTCTGAAATCAATTTTATATATATTTTAATTTGAGTACTTGGTCCTAGAAGGAGGCTTAGGGAGTCCCCAGAGGGAAGCCCCTCCAGGGCAGGAAGTGAGGCCCTGGAGGTACATGGCTCACCTCCCACAGCTTGGGTGGATACCAAACTAAAAGTAACAGTAATAACGATGTTACTTCTGGCTGAAGGACCCAATGCATTTTGAGTCACTGTCCCACATCAATGAATATATTTTAAAATCCTGTCGGCTTTCATATCTTATCCCTCTCCGATGACACCAACTTACATTTTTTCACGTGGGATTCGTGATAGAATGGAAGAGGGGTGCCTATTCCCATTTACAACCAAAGGAATTATGGTACAGAGAGGACATTTGGTCCGAGCTCAGACACAGGGGCAATTCAGGCAGGCCCTCATGGCTGCTGTACCGTATCTCTGTCCTAAAAGGATGTTAATTAAAATAAAAATAAAAAAGGAAAGGATGCCTCTCTCTCTTAGGCAGATGTTAGGCCTCCCCTCCACCACCAGCCCCAGCCTCACCCTTCCTTAGGGCCACTTCTTACTCAATTCAGTGCGGAAGGTCTCCCTGGCCGTCCTCCATCCACAGGAGTCTGTTTCTCGCTCCAGGCGGATATTTTCCACCAGTAGGTACAGGACACTCAGCAGCACCCTGGGGTTATAGAAGGATCACAAGAGGTGCCCGACGCAGCTCCCAGCCTACAGTCAGAGACCTCAGTGATGGTCTCTGTGGGAGTCCAACCCAGTGGAATTAGCAACTTCTAGTGGTCTGGGTGCATCAGGAATTTGAGTAAAGAGTAACCCATTGCTAACCATCCCATTCCAATCCCACGGCTAGCCCCACTCACCGGAGCTCTGTGCTATCAGCAATGGAGATGGCTGGTTTTCGAACAGCACTGCTACAGGCCTGGCTGTTGCTGCCATGGGAAGGAGGGAGAAAATGAGAACCCATTCGGCCCCTTTACTCACTGTGTTCCCACCGATCATACACACAAACATGAGTGCCTGCTATTCCCTGGCTATGTAGCTATATAGAAATTGGTCTAGCCCTAGCTGGTTTGGCCCAATGGATAGAGCATCGGACTGAGGACTAAAGGGTCCGGGGTTTGATCTGGTCAAGGGCACATGCCTGGGTTGCGGGCTTGATTCCCAGTAGGGGGCATGCAGGAGGCAGCCGATCAATGATTCTCTCGCATCATTGATGTTTCTAGCTCTCTCTCCCTCTCCCTTCCTCTCTGAAATCAATAAAAACATATTCTAAAAAAAAGAAATTGGTCTAAGGTAAAGGAGCCCATAGAATTCCTCTGTCACCTCAGCATAGGACATGAAGATGGGCAAGGGTAGGGTCTGTGATATTCCCTCCTCTTGTAATCCCCACTGTGGCGGGCACCAAGTAGATGCTACACAACACTTGATGGATAATAAACAGACTGCACCCTATCTAAAACTCCTGGGTGATAGACATGAGATAAAATGAGGGTTCACTACAGTGATTAGAGCAGATAAGGCCACCCCTAGAGCTATAACCCACGAGGGGAAGAATTGGGCACGTGATAGGAACTGGCCCTGTCCCTCTTGGGTCATGTTTTCAGCCAGAAGAGCTTTCTTCATGGATTCCAGAGTTAGGATGAGCTGAGAAGGGTTGGATAAAAAGGCAACACACCCAAGATAGGCCTCTGAAGCCCAGGATTGAAGCTGTAAGTGGGGCAGAAGCAGCTGATGAGCCCAACCTGGGGGAGGACAGAATATCAGAGAATATGGCTGAGAGGAGGAGAACTGTCAGTGTAAGCTTTGGACCAACATGTGAATAGACCGAGCTCCACACAGGGGTCTCTATGGTAAGGGACTCAGCATAGGACATGGAGCAGCCTAGGACAGGAAGGGGGTTGTCTCAGCCAGCCCCCCCACTAAGGCTTCTTACTCGATTTCCATGTGGAGTAGCTCCAGGAAGGCTGAGAAGGTCCCCATCTGATAGAGCAGGAAGCAGTTGTATCTGGACCAGTGTAGCACATCGACCTCTGAATCACATTCCCCAAAGGTGCCTAAAGGACCAGACAGTGCCACAGGGGTGGAGGGGGAGGGACTATCCCAGTTCTTTCCACTCTGCCCCATGATTTTAGGACCATCTTTCAACATCCTGTCCAATAATTTGGCTGACAAGCGTAGGGCAAGGACCCCCCAAAACTTCCCAGAATGAGGCAGGGGAGAGGAAAGGCAGACTCCAGTTAGGTCCAATGTGCTCATCAATGGCCGATCTTAAGTTTGAGTTCTCTGAGAAGTAGATCCAGCGATGAAAATTCAACTACAAGCATTTTATTTAGGTGATCCCAGGAAACACCAGCAGTGAGGTAAGGAAGAGAAGGCAGCTCAGAGCTCAATCCCAGGTGGGGAGAAGCTCTGGGAAACAGTATAAAACACACAACTCAAAATCATCTTACTCAAGAAGGGTGAGGCAGTCGAAACCGGTTTGGCTCAGTGGATAGAGCGTCGGCCTGCGGACTGAAAGGTCCCAGGTTCGATTCCAGTCAAGGGCATGTACCTGGGTTGCGGGCATAACCCCAGTAGGAGATGTGCAGGAGGCAGCTGATCGATGTTTCTCTCTCATCGATGTTTCTCTCTATCTCTCTCCCTTCCTCTCTGTAAAAAATCAATAAAATATATATTAAAAAAAAAAAAAGAGGTGAAGCAGTCGGGCTATTCGTTCACTGTCCACTGTCAGTCGCTGAGGAGCGCTGCTGGACCAGGGGAGCACATTAATTCCCCAGCACTCCTGGCCACACTATGTGTGCTGCAGAGAAAGCCCTCAGGCAAGAAGGTGAAGGCAGAGGCATCTGGGGGTTGGTCATAGTACCAGACCCAATAGATATGGTTGGGCATTTGTTTGCTATAGTCTTCCCTTCCCCTTAAATCATGTCCACTCTCTTTCCTCTCCATTTATGACTTTTACAGTTTTTAGCTCTCAACTCGTCAGTTCTGCCAACAGTCCTCTTATTTATAATTTCAGGGTTAATTTTACTATTCCAATTAGGCTATCCTATTTCTCTTTCCAACACCTGGTAACAGCTTTTTTCTGGAAAACTTTCCTCAATCTTATTGAGTTCTGATCATCTCCAAATTACTCACAGCATCCACTCCTGCTGCTATTTGGCTTGAACCTTCTAAATGCCAACAAGAAACAGTGCAGAGGGTCCATACGTGCATCTGTGGCACACCCTGCCGCCCTCCGTGTCAGGGCCAGGTCACCGATGATAAAAGAAGTCTCCGTGCTCAGCTGGTGGTACTCTGTCAGCTCTGGCCATACTGACACTCTTGCTAGTCTCCAGATACAATTATAGCCCAGGTTAAGGAAAAGAGAAGCCATAAGAAATCCTGATATGCCTGGTAAGATAAAGGTTGATTCTAAGGGATCCAGAGCAGTACCTACTACCATCTCATCTTCTTCATAAGCACCAGGTTCCGCCTAGCATGTGACAAGATCTGTCCTTAAAAGGCAGGGACCTTGCTTTTCCAGCATGACTTGCCCTATCCTACGCCTGATAACACCATTTTTATCCCTAGTCTCCACCCTCTAAAGTTGGCAAAGGTGGTCACTCACCTTGGGCCAGGTAGAGAACAGCTCGGGCCACCTTCAGTCGCCGCTCTCTGCTGACCACCTCCAGGCGGTCCAGGAGTCCCATCACATAGGCCTTCTGGGCATCTTCCTCCAACTCCAGCCATTCCTTGCCCTGTACTGGGGACAGGCCATATAGATCCAGTGTCAACCACTGCCTTCCCTTCCTGGAAAAGCTCCTATCAGCATAGCCACCTCTGATCTCAGCTCCCTAGACATTCTTCTCTTTAAAAGCTTTCCTTATTTGGCTGAGGAAAAATAAGGGATGGGAAAAGTAAATGACCCAAAATGTTCTTGCCTGAACCCACTTTGCTGCCTCATCTTCTTGCACATCCCCTCCATGCTCCACACACAGCTTATACTGTTCTATCTTCCTGTCTTTCTTCAAGGTGTTCCCTCTATATTCCTACTTATGCAATTCCTGTTCATCATTACAGATCAAATACAAAATTACTTCTTTCCCACAAATGCTCCAGGAAGAAGTTCTATCCTTAAAGATACTTTTTACTTCTTTTTTGACACTTACCAGTTTCTCTTGGCCTGAGCTAGTTTTGTGATATACACATCTCCCTTCTGCTATCTAACTATAATCATCTCTTTGAAGACACTGCAAATTCACCTTCATCCCTGTCTCCTGCATCTCTGGCATGGAACAGGGTACTCACCACACACTTGTTGAGTTGAAAATTGAATTGCCACTGACCAAATAAGGGAATGGAGGTCTGAGAGAATCAGTGTGCACCCATGAAATTATTATTAGACTAGAGGCCCGGTGCACGAATTTGTGCACGGGGGGTGGAGGGGTTGGGGATAGGGTGGGAGGAGGGGACGCCAGAGGGGACAATTTGCATATTAGCCTTTTATTATATAGTATGCTATTGAGAGTGAGGCAGAGTTGGAAGCAAGGGTTGAACATTAAGGTTAAGGACTAGGCTAAGCACAGGGTTCTACCAGTCAGCAGGGCACCAGCCCAGCCCCACCTCTCCATCCCTCTGCCCTCTTGGCCCTCTTACATCAGGGAAAGGGACACAGCTCAGGCTTCTCTTGCTTCCACTCCAGGGCCTCTCCCCCTGAGATAAAGGAAACTCTGTCCCATATGCAAGGAGGGATAGAGAAGTTATACGGTTATGGAGCGGATGTCCCATATGCAAGGAGGGATAGAGAAGTTATACGGTTATGGAGCGGATGTCCCATATGCAAGGAGGGATAGAGAAGTTATACGGTTATGGAGCGGATGTCCCATATGCAAGGAGGGATAGAGAAGTTATACGGTTATGGAACGGATGTCCCATATGCAAGGAGGGATAGAGAAGTTATACGGTTATGGAACGGATGTCCCATATGCAAGAAGGGATAGAGAAGTTATACGGTTATGGAGCGGATGAAGAAGGATCATACTTTGTTTTAGGTTTTTTTTCTAGATCAGGTGAAGGTATCATGAAGAAAAAAAATAAGGGTCTGGAATCACCTTGAGTCTTGAAATCTTCTTCGAAGCACCTCCTGTTAGTGGTGAATTCCAGGTTTTCAGTGTAGCTATACAATTCTGTGCCAGGAAAGACAGGACAGTTACAAACATTTAATAGACCCTTACTGAAGGGGTCTGGAGTAGAGAGGGCAGCATGAAAGAGCTAAAGCTTCCAATACATTCCTGTGTCCAATTCAATCCAGAGTCAGCTTCCTCCTTTTTGGAGCAGTTAAAAATAGCCACTTGTGTCCCTGGGTGATTAAACCATCAAACCTGTCCTCCTCCTGCCAGCTGGCTGGCACAGCAGAGAAGGCCGGCTTCAACATTTGGTGAGGGCCAGGAGGAGGGCTGGAGCTGAGAGGACTTAATGTTATCACTCCTGTTTCTTAGGGCTGCAACCCCTTCTGTTTGTCAACCCAGACGGGGATTACCCAGTCTCTAGGAAAGAGGAGGGCAATACAACTCCTGAAACTTAGAGGCCAGGGTAAGGGCTGAAGAATAAGCATTAGATGGCTCTTTGGGGTTGGAGCCAACTCATTCTCTCCCTGCTAGGTTTCCTCGAAGGGTATAGAAGTTTAGGTTCCTGCTCACAGCTACCCGGGCCCAAGAAAATCTAACTTTGTTGACAGTAGCCTCTCAATACAAAATGCTTATAAGAAATATAAATGCCCTTTCCCCTTATACACACACACACACACACACACACACACACACACACACACGTCAGAAAATTATACCAGTAGCCTCACCTTACAGAGGATGAAGAACTGAAGCTAAGAAATCAATAGGTGATAAGACAGATTTCCTCAAAACCCTGTTCCTTAACTGAGACCCTTGCTGGAAATTTAACTAGATCACAAATCAAGAGAAATTCACTTATGTTCCAGCCAGTTGTCTAATGGCTGAGAAACACTTTGTCTTGGAACCAGAGATTTAAAAAAAAAATTTTTAGAGAAAGGAAGAGAGGATTGGGGGTGGGGGGTGGGGGGGGGAGAGAGAGAGAGAGAGAGAGAGAGAGAGAGAGAGAGAGAGAGAGATTGCTTCCTGCATGTGTCCCAACCAGGGATTGAAACAGGCAACTTGGGTATGTGCCCTGCCCAGAAATCAAACTCCGCCACCTTTTGGTATATGGGAAGATGCTCCAATCAACGGAACCAGGCTGGGAGCCAGGGCTTTTGAGTCCTGAGTTCCAGAATCCTGAGTGACCAGAAGCAAGTCCCATCTTTGAATCTTAAATTCTTCAGTCATTTTTGGAGAGTGTGTGTGTGTGTGTGTGTGTGTGTGTGTGTGTGTGTATTTAAGAGTAGAGCACAAACCCAATCAGAAAAGGGAGCGGTTTCTTAGGTACTAAACTTTTTTGTTTTTATTTTTAAATTTTAGATCCTGAACTTTCATATACAGATAAATATAGAATACATATGACACCTGTGTATCATCTACCCAGATTAAACAAATATTAACACTTGTCATATTTGCTTTAGACATTTAAAGTTCCCTCTTCCTCTCCAGTCTATTTTATTTCCCTCTCTAGATGTACACAATAATGAAATCGGTGTATATGCTTCACTCGCCTATTTTTATTCTTTTATTACTTATGTATGTGCCTGTAAACACATAATATTGTTCTGTTTTAAAAGTTTTTATCCAAGCAGTATCTATCATATTGTATAAATTATTTTTTCTTAGAAACCCTTTTTATTATGTGTCTTTCAATAGTTTTTTATATGAAAAACAGCATGAACACATCCATTCACTTTATGGATACTGCTCTCAAATGTGCAACTGCACTGCCTAGAAACATCTTTTAGACTCATGTTTATGCAGTTTGAAGCATGTATAATTTTTTTTGTCATTGTTTCTTTCCCCGCTCAACATTGTTTTTAATATTTATTAATACTTAAACATATTGCTATAGATCGATTATTTTAATGACTATTTGATATACTACAATTTATCCATTCCCCTACTAAGTTGTTTTACATTTTCCACAATGGCTGCAATAAATATCTTTGTACATGTTTTCTTATGCCCAAGTGTTTTTAAAAAGTGTACATCTAGACCACTGGGTCATAATAGGTGTAGGTTTTCAACTTTGCTAGATATGACCAAACTGCTTTCCAATTTTATTATACTCTGCTCCCTCATGCCAAGCAGTGTATAAAAGTACTCATTTCTCTGCGCCTTCACCAACCCTAGGCTTTTAAATTTTGCAATTTGATGAATGTAAAATAATATCGCATTATTTTAATTTGCTTTTCCCCATTTACTTTTTAAATTATTATTATTGATTGCAGAGATGAAGGAAGGAGAGGGAGAGATAGAAACATCAATGATGAGAATCACTGATCGGCTGCCTTCTGCATGCCCCCTACTGGGGATCAAGCCCACTTGATCCTTGACTGGATCAAACATGGGACCCTTCAGTCCACAGGTCAATGCTCCATCCACTGAGCCAAACCAGCTAGGGCTAGTTGAACATCTTTTCATGTATTTATTGACTGTATGGTTTTCTATTCTATAAATTCCTATTCATATTCTTTGACCATTTCACCATGTCTCTTCTCTCCCTACCTCCCTTCCTCCTTACACACACACACACACACACACACACACACACACACACACACACATTTTGTATTCTAATTTTTTGTTGGTAATTAAACTTAGCTATTTCAAAATTTATTCCCTGTACTTATTCACAAGAACTTCTTTAAAAACATTTGTCTCTTTTCCTTGAAAAAATCATATCTCAAAGTATCACTTCCACGTGACAGAATATTTAACGTTCACACCATCTCCACCCAAAGCTCATTTATTAATAACTGGAATTCACAGCACGTGCAACATGGAGGCCCTTAATGTGAGGACATCATGTTTAGCCCAAGCTAAAAACCCAGAGAGAAGGAGCCCAGCCCTGGAAGGAGAATGAGATCACACCGCTCCACTCTGAGGCTAAAGGTGATATGCCCAGCCTTGCTCAGCTGGCCAGCTGTCTATAGAGCTTTTCTTCAGCCATTGCTGAGATTTATTGAAAGGGCAGGTATTGAGGGAAGGCAGCCAGATGGAGCTAGAAGATAAAAGGAAAGAGACAGAATGGAATAGAGAAGGAGAGGGTGGCAGAAAGAAGGGGGCATGCAAAGATACGGGTGAATATGGGAAGAGAAAGAGGAGAAATAGGAGAAGGTGGAGAGAAAACAGATTTGAGAGTGCACCAAAAGAGAATACAGAGTGTGAGCGGGCAAGAGTGACAGAATGAGAGGATGGAGAGTAACACAGCCACGGGAGAATTCACAGGAAGAAATGTGAACAAAGATATTTACCACTGAAGGGTGGCGAGAAGAGGGAACGTGCAGAACAGCTTTTGTTCTGTAGCCACTTGTTGAGAACAGACAAGCTGCCAAGGGAGATGACAAGCCCCTTCCCTCTCCCTCTTGGCCGCCTTCCACTCTCTACAGACCCATCTACCTCATACCTGACAACTCTGCTGCGTGCCCATCTGCGTCTCCATACTCAAATTCCAGAGTGGGGCAGTCCACAGAGCCCTGCAATGGAGAAATCTTTGTGGTAACTTGGGGAAAGGGTTGACAAAAGGAGATTATACCCTAAATTCATCCTCGTCCCCTCTTGGGGGCCAAGGTTAGATCAGGGAGGCAGCTAGAAGAGTTCCATCTGTGCCTTTCATCTAAGAGGTAACCTTCTACAAGCCAAAATTTGAGGCTCCGTGCTGGGAGGGGCTGAAGATTCCTATGTAGAATCAGAAACTGGGTAATGGGCCAGGATTGTGAACAGATATGAAAGGTATAATCTGTGCCCATATCTGATCTACATAAACACAGACCAGAAGAGCATCTAGATCAGGGGTGGGCAAACTTTTTGACTCGAGGGCCACAATGGGTTCTTAAACTGGACCAGAGGGCCGGAACAAAAGCATGGATGGAGTGTTTGTGTGAACTAATATAAATTCAAAGTAAACATCATTACATAAAAGGGTACGGTCTTTTTTTTTTTTTTAGTTTTATTCATTTCAAACGGGCCCGCGGGCCGTAGTTTGCCCACGGCTGATCTAGATGATCCCCAGAAAAATGCGATGGACAAAAACAAGAGGTGAACTGTGTTCTAACTTCAGTTCTGTCATTAACCTACTATATCATTTTGGGCAAATATCATTCTGTGGATCATAATTCCTCATCTGTAAAAAGAGGTCCTTCAGCTATAATGTTCCAAACTTTAGGGCTGTCAAATAAGGTAGCATTTCTGCTCCACTCTGTGTTAAAGACTAGATTTCCGATGATTGTGTGGGTATAAATTGTTTTAATATAATCCCCTAACCCAGTGGTGGGCAAACTCATTAGTCAACAGAGCCAAATATCAACAGTACAACGATTGAAATTTCTTTTGAGAGCCAAATTTTTTAAACTTAAACTATATAGGTAGGTACATTGTTATTAACTTAATTAGGGTACTCCTAGGGCTTAGGAAGAGCCACACTCAAGGGGCCAAAGAGCCGCATGTGGCTCTCGAGCCGCAATTTGCCGACCACGGCCCTAACCTCTTTAAGCACTTTGGGGTATATTCCTACCAGTATGTATTAATCTATCCTAGTTTTTAAGATTTTGAATCTCAGCTCTGTGGTGTAAGAAAATATATTTAGTCTTTGCCCCAGCTCCCTCCCATTTCTGGCACAGAGCTCCTGAAACCTCTGGAATTTCCTGAGTGATGGGAGTGTCTGATATTTCTAAGGGGCCTTGTCAACCACTTGTGTTGAAGCTAATGAGGTGACTCACAGGAACCCAAAGAGTTTCAAAGGAGGGGCTGGCCCTACCTCAAGGGAGGGGAGGAGGCTGGAGGCTGAGTTCAATCACAAGGCCGGTGGTTTAATCAACCATGCCTAGGTAATAAAACTTCATTTTAAAAACCATGAAACAATGAGGTTTGGGCACACAATGCCCAAATTTTCCTCATTTTGCCACAAACTCTGTCAAGGACTTTGGGAACCAATTAAACCAGGGGATCTGGCTCAAAGGGGCCAGAGGTGAATCCTTTGGTAAGTGAAGAATCTTTTTATTAAGCAAATGATTATCATCTAACTTTCTTTTTAGGTTGAGAAGTTCATACCTAAAAGCCATCGTGAAAGGGTAGGTCAACAGTGCCCTATAAACAGCGACATGTACATAGGAGACTCTCTTGACTTATGCCAAATAATCGTGTTCCAGTAATTCTTTAGAGCCCCTAGAGAGGAAAGAAAACCATCTCTCCTGAGGACTACCTTACACGGGAAAGCAAGAGGAGGGAGGGAGGGAAGAGCCCGTGGCCATCTGAGGCTGGCACCAGGGTGTTGTAGTGATACTGACAAGTAGAAGCAGCTCTCCTGCTGCAGTAGAAGGTAGGGGAAAGCTAATCTTTCCAGCCAGCCTTTTGGCAGGCAACGAGCCCAGATAGAGAGGATCACTGCAGTTGTTCATTTCCAAGCACGGCAAGTGCAGCTGCAGGCAATCGGGAGGTAAACTGCAGTGCAGGTGGAAAGCTCTGAGTCTCTGGATACTGAGCTCACTGGCAAAGGTAAAGTACTATCAGAGCCTTTTCCTGAAGCAGTGGTTTTCAACCTTGGCTGCACATGAGAATCACCTAGGAATCTTTTTAAAATCCTTATGTCTGGGCCTCATCCTCCTGAAATTCTGTTTCTTTGTTACTAATGTTGTGGCCCCAGCCCATAACAAAGACCTAAAGGAAGACTCGATAGGTAGGGACAAGGCTTCCGGCGTCAGGAGTTTCAATTCACTCAAAGAACATGTCATTCTGAAATTATGTTAGTTATTAGCATACTGTCTGTCTCTCCACTCCCACTGGAATATTAGCTCCGAAGAGCATAGATGTTCTCTTGTTCACGGCTGTATCCCTAGCACCTAAGATAGTGCTGGGCGTATAGAATAACTATTCTCTCCCCCCAAAATACACCACATTGGAGCAAGAACAATGTCTCTAGGGGGGAAGGAAGCAAAGGGTGCCCTAAAAGGCCAGGTTGGTACTGAGGCAGGGGGGAGATGACGTGGTGGATAGAACCCTGCCTGATCTAGCAAGGCAGGAGGGCTGCACTAAGCCTCTGAAAGTGGTGCGACTTGGGGGCCAGTCTTTTCACCTCTCTCTACCTCTCTCTTTAAAAAAATGGGATGGTTTCCTCCTCTGTCTGTATCAAAACGGAAAGCATACATGAAACCCCTTTGGAAACGGTGAGAGAGCATTCAAATGGTAAACCCTGGACTTGGATGCTTAAGGCCGGGCACTCAGGTCCAGCTCTGCCCCTCCATGTGGCGACGTGCAGTGCTGAGAGCTGCTTGGAACTGACCCGTGACATGCACGGTACCTGCGCTGCATTAGACATTTTACACTCAATTATCTCACTTTGGCTTTATTGCAACATCCCGAGGCACACCGCTTTAACCTCATTTTACAGATGAAGGAACTGGAGCTCCTGGAGGTTTGGCAATTTGCCAAGAGTCAACCCCGGGAATAAATGGCGGGGCTGGGATTCAAAACCTGGCCTGCCTGACTCCCAAGCTCGGTACTCCTGGCCCCTGGGCCAGATGTATGATCGTGGGCAAGTTACTTCTGTCTCTTTCACGTCTGTAAAGCCAAGGGCTAACCCGGGGGGTCGCTACAGACCCTTCCACACCTGACATCCTGTGGTCTGTTCTCCTGGTCCCACTCAGACCCAGCTCTGCTCCGGGCTGGTTGATGGAGACTGGCTGGAGGAGGACGGGGTGGGGGGCTGGAGGGAGGGAGTGATAGGAGCCAATCCTTTCATCCTCCTGGCTAGGGTTTTATTTATTTATCTATTAATTATTTACTTATTTATTCATTTATTTATTTTTCCAGAAGAGGAAGCGACCCAAACATGCATACTCCTATGTGCGGGTTTGGCTCCTGGGACAGCCCCATCCGCTCACTCCTGTGCCCGCCCCGCCTGAATCCTGTCTCATTAGCCCTCCAGGTAGCGGTCCCGAGGTCGGCGGAGCCTGCCCCCCACACGGGGGCGTGGGAAGGGGAAGGCAGAGGCCCGCGGCGCAGCGGGACCGGCTCGGGAGCCTGGGTGGCAGCAGCGACCCCAGCCCGCTCTCCTGCCCGGCGGCGGCGGCGGCGCTCCGGCCCCCACCCCTCGCGCAGGTCCCCCGCCGCCCCGCGCCCGTTTGCTCCTCTGCCAATGGGAGGTACGACGTCCCACCGCCGGGCTGCAGCTGCGAGCGACATAAATCTTTGAAAAGTACCTGGTGCTCGAGATCCGCTACATCTCCCGGCGCGGAGGCCAGGGGGCTCGAAAGCCCCGACCTGCTCGCGGCAGGAGAGGGGAGGGGAGGGCAGGGGTTGCAGAACCCAGAGTCCAGACAGCGGCGCACCCGCAGGCGACCGCTCTCAGGGGACTCGGGGCGCGGGAGGGGAGCCGGGCCATAGCCCCGCAGCCGCCGCCTCCCGCCCGCGGGCACCTCCCGCGCCTCACAGACGCTCTCGGGGCTCCTCACCTCTGACTCCCGCCGCTGGCTTCGGAACACTTCCCGGCCCTTGGGCGGCGCCTGCTTCCCTTTGCCGCCGCCGTTGCCGTTGCCGTTGCCATTGGCGGGCGGGCTCCCGGCCCCCGGCGCCACCGGGTCCTCCATGCGGCTGCGGTCAGGGTCTCCGCTCAGCTAGCTGCTCAGCGCGCTCTGCCCCAGGCGACCCCGCCGCCGCGCGCCGCCGGCCCGGCCCCGCCCCCTGAACAGCTATTGGCTGCGGCCGCTTCCCTCAGCCCCGCCCCGCGGCGCAATTGGCTGTTGGGCCCCTTGGAGCGGGACTTGGAGGGGGGCTCTTCCCAGGGAACAGCCCCGTCTTTTCTCCGTGTCCTGCGGCGCTGCGGGTCGCGGTGGGCTCCCGGGTGGGCTCCCAGCTCTACCTCCCGAGTTCTGGGCCCGAGCTCACGGCGTTATCCCTTTGCTTCTCTCTCGGGGTCTCAGCACTCACCTCCTCCCAAAGAGCGACCTTTTCGGGGAGCTCTGTGCTTCACCGCCCGCTCCACTGCAGCTGCTTCCCCGTGACCACAGACCTCTGCCCCCGACCGCACGCGTCCCACATCCGCTTCCACCGCAGGGAAGGGACGACCCCGCCAGGGGGCCAGGGACCGCTCCGAGTGGGGACTTAGCTGGGAGACTGGGGGTTCAGGGGTGAGGCGGGGCGTTTTCGCTTCACCGAGATTGCGGGTGCCTCTCAGGGCCGCTCCTGGTCATCTGCCTTTCCCTGCAGAAGTGGGCACCTTCCCCATGTTGTGATCTGGGGAGTTAAAATGGAACGGAGAGCGAGCGCTCCCGCCCCACCCTCACCCCCGGTCTAAAGCTTCATTCTTCTAAGAGCCTTCCTGGGGGCAAACGAGGCTGCGAGGCTTGCTCAGCCTGGAATTTATCTAAAAAGCAGGGTGGGCACGCCACACAGCCTCGTTTGCCCCCAGGAAGGATCTTAGAAGAATGGAAATAAATAAATAAATAAGCAGTAAACGTGTTGGTAATAGCCGCTCCAAGTAAGCAGCCTGGGGAGAATGGGTGGGATTGGCCGGTGACCTGCCACTCTTCCCAGGCATTGCACCAGGGACCTTTCAGGTATATCACACCGCTCCCTGACAGGTTGTTCTCATGAATCCAATGTCACTGGTGAGGAAGCCGGGACCCACAGAGATGTATTACCTCTTGCAGTTCTCAAGGCATCATATTCTGTCTTGTTTCAGTGCCTTCAGATGTGCTGTTCTCTCTCTGGAGGAACTTTCTGTCCTCTTGGTTAACTTCTGCTCTTCCTTACAGGTTCTATGTAGTCATCACCTCCTCCTCCAGGAAGTCTTCCTTTTGACCCTCCTCAATCCTTCCAGGCGGTGTTGGTGTCAAGCCAAGTCAGCCTGGGTCCAAAATCCTAATGTTTTCCACTATATCCCAAAGGGAAGGGCCTGTTACTCACCTGTTTCTTTCTTAGGGACAATTCTGTTCCTTTCTTAAACCTATCCTTCTCTCACATTTTCCTCTGCTGGTTAGTAAGTGGTAGGTCAGGCAGAGTTGAGAGAGCAAGCAGTCCTTGGAGCGTTCGGAGTTCCTTTTTCTCCCTGGCCCCCAACATCTTATTGCACCCTCTCATCATTTTCCCTTTCCTTTCTTATTCCCACCTCTTACCCTCCTACAACCTGGATAGAGAGTAGAACCAAGTTTAATTCATTTTTGTATGCCTCGTTTATGTATTGTTAACATAGGGTTTATGTACTATTGACTGAAAAATTATTTGTTGTGGAGGCTGTCCCGTGCATTGTAGGATGTTTAGCAGAATCCCAGGCCTCTCCTCACTAGATGCCAATAGTTCCCTCCCCCTTGGGTGACAACCAAAAGTCTCCAGATATTGCAAAATGTCCCCAGAGGGGCAATATCTTCTGGGGTTGAGACTCACTGGCTCAGCAGAATTGAATTCATATGAATTTCCAAGAAAGTCCCTGGCTCAAGGCTGAAACTATTTGATTTTGGAATTCTTCTCAGGGTATAATTTGTTAAACTCTTAAGGACTCGTACTCTGCTTTAAAATTCACAACCTACGCCTCGCTCATCACTGCTTCAGTGTGGTAAACCTGCCACAGCACAGCCCATTAGGGATTCTTAATAAAAGAATCAAATTATCCTTCCTTCCCTCTTCCCAATACCTCTCCTCCTAAGCAGTCAGAGCTCTAGGATTGACAGGCCCAGAACTTCACGTTCTCTTTCGTGAGCCTAGTCCAGTGATGGTGAACCTATGACATGCGTGTCAGAGGTGACACGCGAACTCATGTTTTTGGTTGATTTTTCTTTGTTAAATGGCATTTAAATATATAAAGTAAATATCGAAAATATAAGTCTTTGTTTTACTATGGTTGCAAATATCAAAAAATTTCTATATGTGACACGGCACCAGTGTTAAGTTAGGGTTTTTCAAAATGCTGACACGCCGAGCTCAAAAGGTTCGCCATCACTGGCCTCGTCAGTCGGCAGGATCCCCAATGGGGGTGGCAGGCAGGAGTGGCTGCTTTTGAGGCTTGTTCCTTTCCAGCCTGTCAGTAGGGCAAAGAGAGCAAAGAGACCTTCAGTTGAAAGTAGGATTGAGGCCTGCTCTCAAGACCCCTCTGGCCCTTATGTAAAGCTTTTTGTTGAGTCTAGAGCTCCACCTGGCTTCACTTTCAGAGAAGGGTTTTGAGAAATTGGTATGGTGGAGTTTGCAAAGAATCAACATGAGGATAGACCTCAATGTATTATCTTTTTCACAACTAGTAGAATGGAAGACAGTAAAGGTCAGACATCGATCTAAGATAGGTCCAGACTTTCAGAGTTTGTCCTAAGGAGGGAGCTATCTGGAAACAACTACTGGAAGAAGTAACAAGAAACCAGATTAACTGAAAACTTTGAAAGTCATGGAATTGGCACACACTCACTTTCTTTTAGTTTGTCAACAATGAGTGGCAGCTATCATTACCATTAACCACAGAGGTGACCATAAATATACCTGGGAGATAATTAGGGGTTGGTCTTATAAGTTTTTCCGTCTTTGTAGAGATGGCTCCCATGCTGAGTTATTTTTAAACTTCCAAAAATTCAGGTTTCCTGAGGCCACTGGTAGAGAGAGGGCTAGAGGTATAAATAGGTATATTACAAGGACCAAATATATCTCTTTCCCCATATAAGCACTCCACTGTAATCCATGGAGGTCAGATATATGATTAAATAGGTAACACCTTACATAGAGAAAGTTTAAAAATAAGATGCAGGAAGTCTTAAAATACCTAATTTTTGAGGATATCAGGCAGCCAAGGTAAAGTAGTAGAAAAAGAACAGAATACCCTCCTCTCTCCAAAGTCATGTGTGGGTGTAATGAGAAAACATCTTGCATTCAGAATGTAGAACTAGTTTAGGTTACCAACTAAAGAAGCCAGCTACCAGAAAGCTGCTCAAAAATGGATTCTAGTACTGGCCATTGAGGAAGAACAAGAAGTTAGTTAGACTCATCCTCTGGTTACGATTTAGTCGGGCAAAACCTAACTTAGAGACAAACCTCTGCCAGATTAATTTCTTTCTTCCCTTTGGTTGTATGTTGTCAGGTGCTGATGTCGGGGTTGTTTGGTCCTAAACCAGTGGTCGGCAAACTGCGGCTCTTTGGCCCCTTGAGTGTGGCCATGAAGTTTCAATCGCACTGTATGTGCACGCCCGCATGTGGTATTTTGTGGAAGAGTCACACTCAAGGGGCCGCAGTTTGCCGACCACTGTCCTAAACCCTGGGATGCTAGCTTCTGTGCTCTCCAGCTAAGGGTAGTACACAGGGGGCTTGGGGAGTTTATAATGAGGCTTTAATTTCTCTGCCTTAAGCCTACACTTCTCAACTCCCCAGTGTGGTGGTTCTGAGAAAGCAGTATAATTATACATGCAACGGAGGGGTGGGATTGGGGATATTAATTAGTGGAATGACCCATGATAGAATAGGGATCCAAGGCTAAGGCCATTCAATATGCCTATTGGTAACTGCTTCAGTTTTTCACATCCTTGCCTTACAGCAAGCTCTTTAGCCTGTTGCCCAGAAACCTCTCTCATCTCTGTATTAGTAGTTTATAGAAGCAAAGAATACTCTCAAGACAGGCATCCATTTAAGAATATTTTATTTATCTTTTGAGATTACATGTTCATTATTGCTGATCTAATACAATCACTTAGACATAAAGATTTCCAAGAGCCTCTTCAGAAATGGTGATCCTTAGAGGTTTTATTTCCTTTCGTTAGATGACAATGAGAACTAGATGGTTATTTATATATATATATTTATATATGTATGTATATATAGTTTAGAACTTGTCCATATATGATTTGCTGGTGTTGCCTATTTTCTTTCAATAATTTTCCTTAATTAAAAAAAGCTTAATGCAACAATGCATTCGAATTTCTTTTTTAAAACTGTGACAAAGTTAATTTTGAAAAAACCATAGGAGCAGCAATTTTAGGTCTGTTCAGAGAAAAGCCAAGCAGCAAAAAAGCTTTGCAGGAGTATATGGCCATGGGAGCCGTGCTCAAATGGGAGGATAGGATGAGGAGGGAGGAGGGCAGAGGGAAGGTGGACCAAATACTTTTCTTTAAAAAAAAAAAGGAGAGAGAAGGAAAACAATTTTTTCATTAAGAAGACAAAAAAGACCTTGAAAACTAGCACAAATTCATCATAGGGAAAATGGTAAGTATTCCCACAGGCCAGCGCTACATAAAGAGATAATTAGTTTTCTTTCCCATGCTTCCAGATACCTAGGATGCGTCTAGGTGAGAGCTTGAGAGAAGAAGACACATTTGCTCTGATTCCAAGGGTAGAGGGAATAATGACCAAATTCCAACTAAGGCAGAACCCAAATTCTCAGGAGGCTTGTGCCTCCTTCTTCTCAATGATTGATGACACAGGATCTCCAGAGAGAAAGGAGAAGTCATCTGGAACTCAGAAGCAAATACCTCATTATGGGCAGCAACACTAACAACGTAACCAAGAAGCCCAGTGTGGCTCCTTCTTCATTTGGAAGGGCATGTTCTGTCAGGATCAGCACAAAGGAAGTTCCATAGAGAGCCAGGCTTTGCTGAGAAACAGCAGGTTATGACTTTTGGCC